TCTACCACTCTAATCAATACCTTTTCTTTACAGAAAAATTAACTTACACAAGTGCTTTTTTAAATTCACAGCCACAGGGTATCTTACCAGGAGTTAAGAAACGAGGTCAGCTTCCTGGAATGAGGTGCCTAAGGGTAGACACCTAAGAGCTGACACCTAGCACAGCTGGACCAGCACCGCTAGCGCCAATGAGGCACAATGTTGGGTGATTAGTCAGGGAGTGCAAGAGTGCGCGCGCTGCGGGTTGCGCTCCTTTAGGCGGCCCGAAGAAGGCAACTGGAGCTCACAAGCCACCTCTGGCGAACGTGAACTGCGAGCGAGTGTCTTACGTAAACGACATTTCTTGCAGAGTCGTGGCAAGGAAGCGCAGACTGGGGCGCGCTTGCTGCTCCCCAACAACGTCTGAAGCCGGGGACTGAGGGTGGCGGAACCCCCTCCCGTCCCTCCACCTCCACCTTCTCTATGCTAGGGTGCACCCTGTGGATAGAGCCGGCCGATGGGACCGCAGATTCCTCGTGCTGCTTTCTGATGAGAGGATTAACTGACCACTGCCGGCTGCGACCATTTTCCTGGGCAAGCACCTCCTGTGCGCAGGCCGCGTCGGGCCTGCCAGGGCTCTGGCTGCCTAGGAGTGCTCCCGCTGTTCACCCCGCGACATTAGGGGTTGGGGGGCAGTTCCCCGCAAATAGGTGAGCAGGTGGAGGCAAGCAGGTGAATTAATGGATGTGCAGTAGCTCCGTCGAGGGAAAAGGGACTGGACGGAGGGGAACTGCGGTGGGCAGGGCAGGCCTGGGGTGGGGGCTGGTAGGGGATAGGGAAGAGAGCCCACCTGTACGGCGACTTACCTGGTCTCCGTGCCTCTGCTCTCCTCCTCCCTCACTAATGAGCCTTTTAAACTTGGCAGGGACCCAGGCAGGGATACTTGTAACTATCCCAGGTGATTCGAATTTGCAGCCAGAATGGGAATCACTGTAACTTCTTTATTTCAGTGCTTGCTTTCTCTTAGTACGTTCTTGTCACGCCCCTTCATTCATGACCATCTCAGTCCATTTGTTCAGCTTCAGCCTCTCCAGTCCATCCTCTCCGCCCTTCCCTATTTGGATTCCCAGGTCTGTTTGCCCTGGGTGCTCCAGCAGCCATTGTCTCGGAGGGTCATCCACCACCCTTCCCACTCTGGATTCCCAAGAAGGGGAACTGGAACCATTGGCTCCTAACCAGTCTGTGTCTGGGTGGGGCTTTGCAGCCTAAGGTCTTGTCCCAGGTTGCTGGCCACCCTGTCCTCCCATACACTGCTAGTTAGGTGGCATAACCAGGGCTGAGGGGGCACTACAGGAACCCAGGAACAAAATGTGCCCAGGGGAAGGCTGTGGAGCAGGTGGTTTCCCTTACACTGACTTACCCATTCATCAGGCACCTCAGGGCACTTTGGAGTTTTCACTGGAAAACTGCACACTGTTTTTAAAAGGACACTGAGCTCAGAAGACATCTCATGTGAACCCAGCATTTTCCACAAGCAGCACGTAATCATATAGCTAGGAAGTGGCTGCATCTGATGCAATGCTATACTCTGGCCACTGGGATTAAACACGTTCTTCTCCTTGTCTAATCAGTCAATTGAAAAGAAAACCTGGATTTCCTCTCCCAACCTGCCTTTTACTTTGCAGGAAGAAAAACTGGGTGTGTGGGGAGGCCCTACTTGTTTCTAGATTTAGAAGCATTTAGGGGGTGACACATTTCACAAGCCCGAAGAGTTCCCTGGGTGGAGGAGGGGCAGAGCGGAAGAGTCCCCCATCTTCTGGTATCCAGAGATTCCTAGGTGGCTTGGCCCACAAAACCACATTTACCTTTTCCTCCAGTCAAGAACATCTGCTGCTTTGTCCCAGCCTCTTCTTGTAAGAATAGAACCCCCTCTTTTTTGGGTAAGGCCTCCTCCCTCCACCTCAAGCCAGAGTCCAGCTAGAGACTGCAATTTTACATGACCCCTGGACTCCAGCTGGCTAGTCCAGATGGCTCCTGATTCAAGATGAGCTAATCAGAGGCCTTCCTGGGAACTTGAAAGCTTGTTCTCCCCATGGCCTGAATAGGATCTCACTGTATGCCATCCAGGCTAAGTGCAGTGACATGATCACAGCTTACTGCAGCCTCGAACTCCTGGGCTCAAGCAATCCTCCTGTCTCAGCCTCCAGAGTTGCTAGGGCTACAGGTGCATGTCATCACAACTGGCTTTTTTATTTTTATTTTTTGTAGAAACAGGGTACTTGTTGCCCAGGCTGGTCTCTAACTTCTGGGCTCAAGTGATGCTCCCATCTCTGCCTCCCAAAGTGTTGGGAGTACAGATATGAGCCACCACATCTGGCTGGCCTGGACTTTAAAATATGAAAAATTAAGAGCTACTGGTAGTCAAATCACCACTGGATGGCAGATGCCAATCTAGAGTGAGAGATAATAAAGCTGATCTGCAGAGAGGAACAAACAGGAGATGAGGGGAGACCCAGTAGCACTGGTGTCCCTGACTCTTAGCTGGATCCCTGTCCTTTCTGCAGTTTGGCTGTTTCGTTTTTTTTTTTTTTTTGATCGTCTGGCTGTCACCCAGGCTGGAGTGCAGTAGCTCGATCTTGGCTCAGTACAGCCTCCGCCTCCCAGGTTGGAGTAATTCTCCTGCCTCAGCCTCCCGCATAGCTGGGACTACAGGCACACACCACTATGCCTGGCTAATTTTTGTATTTTTAGTAGAGATGGATGGGGTTCCACCATGTTGGCCAGGCTGGTCTCAAACTCCTGACTTCAAGGGATCCACCCACCTCAGCATCCCAAAGTGTTGGGATTACGAGTGTGAGCCACTTGCACCCAGCCTGCAGTTTGGCTCTTCAACCCTTCTCAATAAGTGAGAGGCCCCTATGTTCCTTCAGTAATGGACAAATATATTAATTATCAATTGCTGCATAAAAATGTAACCCAAAACAGTGGTTTAAGACAACAAACATGTATATGTATTTCGCAGTTTCTCTTGGTCAGAAACTGGGGAGTGGCTCAGCCGAGTCAGGATGCCAGCTGGGGCTGCAGTCTTCTGATGGCCTGACTGTGGCCGAAGGACCCACTTCCAAGGTGGCTCACCCACATGGCTCTTGTCTTGGCAGATGGCCTCCTTCCATGCTGGCTGTTGGTAAAAGGCCTGTTTCTCACCATGGGCCTCTATGCAGGCTGCTTGAGTGTCTTCATAACATGGTGGCTGCCTTCCCCCCGAGTGAACAATCCACAGGAGAGGACGAGGAGAAAGCCACTGTTCCTTAGATGTTTTCTCTAAAACTGCAGGCCACTTTCACTTTATTCTGCTCTTTAGATCACTATGTCGAGCCCACTCTTAAGAGAAAGGCAGCTAGGTTCCACACAGGGAATCAGTGTGTCTAATTCTGAGCTCTCTCCGTTCTCACTGACCCCTGCCTTCCTGCTGGCCTCTGGGACTCCAGGCTTGGGTGCTTCCTCACATCACCTGAAAGTCAGCCCTGGGATATCTAGCTGTTTCGAGGTGGCTCAGGGATTCAGGCACAGTTCTCAGTTTTGTCCCGTCCTTCTCAGCTCTGATGCAACTGAGTAACTCTACTCCTTTTAAGAGGCAGTTCTGCCCTGGCCGGTAACAATCCCTCCCAACCCCACTGTGCAGATAAAGATTATTTTAAAATGACAAAATGGGGGCACACTGTATGAACAGAATATTTGAAATTTTTTCTGCCCCCAGAAATCTGGGGCCCGAGGTTGTTATATCTTGATGCTCTCATTTCTTAGGGAGGTAACTTCAGAACCAATCGTGACCCCTAACCTCTCTGGTGGTCGGTTCCATGACAGGCGAAGGAGAAGGGTGAGAGGGGAGTGAATGGCCAACCTCCCACTGCCATGGTAACAGGGGTACTGGCTGATGGGAGCAGAAAATAATTTAGTGAAAGGCTGTGGGGGCAGTTAAAAGATGTCTGGGAACACTGGCAAGGCAGCTGCTGACACAGGGACAAGGAAGTCTCCGTGGCTGGAGCCCAAATCACACTGCAGACCCAGACCCCATGACCACTGCCATGAACTCCAGAGACAGCAGCTTATAGCATGGAATCAGCTGCCACCACCACCATCCAGAACACCAGACATTGTAGCCACGGCTGTAGCAGGAATGGATGTCCCACTGTCCCTGCTCCTCAATGTCACTTGCTCCTAAGTTCAGGGCAGGTTCATCTGATTGGCTGAATCTGGAACGTCTGCCTGTGACTTAGCTGTGAGGGAGGCAGGGAAAGCAAACCTTTTCAGCTTCTGTCGTGGGAGGTGGGCTTTGTCTCCTACCAAATAACAAAGGATGGAGGATCTTCAAACACAGAAAAAGAACTTGGATCCTGGCACCCCCAAATCTTCAGAGTCCACTACAGAGCATAAGAAATTGAGGTTTCAAGATCATCCATGTAGGATATTTAGAGGGGGAGCCGGCACAGTGGCTCACGCCTGTAATCCCAGCACTTTGGGAGGCGGAAGCAGGTGGATCACCTGAGGCCGGGAGTTCAAGACCAGGCTGACCACCATGGAGAAACCCCGTCTCTACTAAAAGTACAAAAAGTAGCCAGGTGTGGCACGTGCCTGTAATCCCAGCTACTTGGGAGGCTGAGGCAGGAGAATCACTTGAACCCAGGAGGTGGAGGTTGCGGTGAGCCAAGATCACACCAATGCACTCCAGCCTACACAACAAGAGTGAAAATCTGTCTCAAAAAAAAAACAAGTTTAGAGTGGGAAAAAAGAATGATAAAGGAAAAAAAGAAAAGAACAGCAATAGTAAAGGATCTTTTCTTTGTTTTAGTAAGATGAAGAGACCAGAGCAGTTTTGTGGAGGGGAAGAAACAGGAAAACCTCTTCACAAGACAAAAAGCTGGCACTGCATTCTCTCTCTGTAGGACAGCTGTCTAAAGACAAATAAATAAATAAAGACATATTTTATTTGGCCAAAATAAAGGAACCTGAAGCATTACTAATGACCCTTCAAAAGCTTCATTGTTTTTCTTTAATTAACATCTAAATAGATTATACATCTTCTATAATTGTAATATGGAAATATATATGAGCAAAATATATAAATTTTTTGGCGAATGCCTAGGAAAGAATGGGGTCAGTCAAGTTCATCCAAGGTTTTAAGCAGCAGCATTAATGCAGCCAGGGTGTGGTCAGTGTTTGGGGACAGAGGTAAATATCCGCAATCCATGCATCCCTTTGATTTCTTCTTTTAGTGCCTAAATAAGAAAACAGCATCATCAGTTTTTGTATATTTCATGTTGATTACAGTAATTCTCTGAGAGTATTTTTATACAGTTCTATATCTGAAGAAGACTGTGTATGTGCTTTGTTCAAGCAATTTTTCCTTCTTTTGAAAAACAATTTTTTCTTTTTTTAAATCAATAATATCTAACATAAAGATCAAAAAGTATAAAAAAGGTGTACAGGGAAGTCTCCCTCCTACACCTGTCTATCTCCCCAGTTTCCACCCCTGTTCCCAAGAGAACTGTTGTTAGTTTCTTTTGTATCTTTTTTTTTTTCTTTTTTTGAGTCAGAGTCTCACTCTAGTGCCCAGACTGGAGTGCAGGGGCACAATATTGGCTTACTGCAACCTCCGCCTCCTGGGTTCAAACAATCTTCCTGCTTCAGCCTGCCTAGTGGCTGGAACTACAGGCATGTGCCACCATGCCTGGCTAATTTTTTATTTTTTATAGAGACAGGGTCTCACTATGTTGCCCAGGCTGGTCTTGAACTCCTGGACTGTGGCAATCTCCCCATCTTGGCTGCCCTAAGTGCTGGAATTATAAGTGTGAGACATCGTGAAGGCCAGTTTCTTGTGTATATTTTCAGGGATTTAAAAATACATATTCAGCAGGCATATTCAAGCTAATATTCCACCCTATGACCTTTTAAAATGCAAATGGTAAACAATTCAAACACATTACACCAAGCTTGTCCAACCCATGGCCCATGACAGCTTTGAATGTGGCCTAACACCAATTTGTAAACTTTCATAAAACATTTTGAGATTTATTTATTTATTTATTTATTGTTTTAAAGCTCATCAGCTATCATTAATGTTAGTGTATATTATGTGTGGCCCAAGAGAATTCTTCTTCCATTGTGGCCCAAGGAAGCCAAAGGTTTGGACACCCCTGCTCTATACTTTGCTTTTCCCCCAACCGTCTGTCTTGGAGATCTTTCTGTATTAGGCATATATGGGTGTCCTCATTCTTCTTTGCCTCAGCATAGTATCCTATTATATGAATGGATTATAACTTTTCAACCTGTCCCCGAAAGAACTTCTAGTTTATTTCCTGTATTTTATTATTTCAAGCAATAAGCATTCCTTAAAATGAGCTGTTCTTTAAAATCATACCAATTAGCACAAATTCCCCAATGTCACTTCAGAGCAGGAAATAAAGTTTCAAATTATTTACGGGACTTGTTTTAAGGCTATAAATAGTGTCAGAGCCCAAATCTGAAGGAACCATCAGAGTCAAAAAGATATTTGGCCCCTGCAGTGCTGGGAGAAAGAGAGGTTACAGGATCAGAGCAGGGCTTGGACCTCTCAAGTTTATCATCAGTACAGAGGAAGAGATAACGTCCTTTTATACTAGGCCAAATCTGATCATCACAGTGGAGTGGACACTTTTCTTTTCTCATCTGTTTAGTGATCTCCTTCTCTTGGGGAATAGTTCCTTTTCCACTTTATTGTATACTCCTGGTGGAATTAGCAGTTGGTCTGATACTGAAGTCATTATGTGCCTCTGGCCCAGTCTATGATTGGACTAAGGTGACACATGACTCAAATTGGGCCGCTCAGAATCTCCCTTGGGACTTTTGAGAGTGGAGCCTTGTTTCATGGGCCAATATGCTGTGATATCAACTGGAGGTGGCCAGAGCCCATATTTCCCACCAAGGAGAAAAAGCCCATCTTCAGCAGGAGAAAAGGAGACCAACACAGGGAAGGAAGCTGAAAGTACTTCTTCAAAGGATTGCTGTGAGGATTAGTGATAAAGTACATGCTGAGCACAACCACAGTGCCCAACACATAGTAAGAATTCCATAAATGTGACTGCCATCACCATCACTGCCATCTCCAACACTGGGAGGAATCTGCACCAGTCTGGGGTGGGGAAGGGCTGTGATTCCCCCAGTTTGGGGGAATGTCACCTGCACGGTCTTGGGATTAAGGTGTCCTCTGGTCCCCTACATCAACATGTGCCTCTCTTCACACTGTCCTGAGTAGACAACCCAGTCACTCGTCTTTCATTCCCCCTCAAAAGCAGCCTCAGTGTAGGGCAGGCTGTGTCCCCCATACCTAACAAAGGAAGGACACATGGAAGGAGCCCAACCTGTATTTCTTGAGAGTTTGCAGACAGTGAGGAGAGCTGCCTTGTGTTTTCTTATTGGCTTACCCATTAGATTAAATTTTAGTATCTGAAAGGCATTCCATTTTGGAGAACTCGCATCCTGACACTGGAGGTCCAATCTGGGCAAAGGCCCAGACAGAGAGAGAGAGAGACAGGCAGAGGCCGGCTGGGAGGGTGTGTGCAGAGAAGGGCGGGGGAGATGTGTGAATGGCAGTCTAGGACACCCGAACTCGATGCATGACAGGCCACCAAAGAGAGGCTTGTGATCAGTGCTGTGCTTTACAAAAATAACACTAGTTCACAATGGCAATCAAGACCTTCCAGAATGATGCCAAACACACCCAGTGAGGGGACAAGTTCACAGGTACAGGTACAAGGGTCAACGTCGGTATAAATTAAAATCAACATGGATAATATTTAACATGAGACTTAGTCTGGTTCTGTCACGGGGTCTGGGGCAGCTGCACCCATTCTCACTCATGCCACGTATCAACTGACCCACTTGTAAAGCAGTCTCAAAGAGAAGCCAAAAAACCCTCTTTAAATCTACAAAAACATATCTCTTTTAGCATTGTCTATGTTTAGATATAATCATCACCATGTGACAATAACGGTAAACATTGGTAGCATTATACAAGGATATACAAAACCACTATTGGGAGGCTTGTCTTCAATTCTGAATTAAATTCCTTTTTGCCACAATGTAGATGCTCCCAGATTCTATTTTTCTCAGGTCTTGTTTCATGATTGTGGTACTGCATTATTCTTTCCTGCAACTGACAGCAAAAACCACCACGTCTGCTTGGCAGGCCCTTTTGGAGGCTGAAGGCCAGTGGCAAGGGGCACTGTTGCCTCTACTGACCTGATTAACCATCTGGTGTTGCTGGACAGTTCTCTTCTCCTTAAATTCTTCTGATTCAATTTTAATTTCATACATCGCCCCACAACCTCCTAAAATAAACATGATTCAAAAGCATTTCAATTATTAAGTCATGGCAGCCATGGTTCCATATGTCCTTGGAGTACTCTACAATCCAAAGGACTGAATATCATTCAGCACAAAGGAAAGTTGCTAAGACCATTAGGAAAAGATCATGGCTTCCAGTCTGACCACATGCTCCTCTGGACAGGCTGCCACAATACAAAATGCGCTCTTCCTGTGCGAGGCAGCTGCGCTACCCGGGGTTATCACTTGTGGGCAGGAAATAAGGCACAAAGCATGGACAGCCTAGGGAATGTAGAGCATTTCCTCTTACTAGGCCAATAAACACCACGGAAGAAGATGAGGAGGATGGACTTTCAGTGTTCCACCTTCCAAAGGACCAACAATCAGTATTTTTAAAGCGCAAAAGTACAGTAAAATTTGGTTTGAAAACTGTGTTATCCAAAGAAAAGAAAGAAAAGAAATTTTTAAAGTGCAAAAATACAGTAAAATTTGGTTTGAAAACTGTGTTATCCAAAGAAAAGAAAGGACCAGGGGCTCATGCCTGTAATCCTAGCACTTTGGGAGGCCAGGCAGGTGGATCACAAGATTAGGAGTTTGAGACCAGCCTCACCAACATGGTGAAACCCCGTCTCTACTACAACTACAAAAATAGTGGGGCGTGGTGGCAAGTGCCTGTAATCCCAGCTACTTGAGAGGCTAAGGCAGGAGAACTGCTTGAACCCAGGAGGCGGAGGCTGTAGTGAGCCGAGATCGAACCACTGCCCTCCAGCCTGGGCAACAAAGTAAGACCCTGTCTCCAAAAAAAAAAAGAAGCAGGGGAGCTCCAGAGCCGGGACATAGCAACATGTCATGCATTGAGCTGCTTGGGGATGTCTCTGGCACTGCAGAGTCCACAATGCATCATCCTGGGTTTTAGGGGAGAGCTTTTTGGTGAAGCCCTCGAGGCAGAGCTTGGTGAGCCATCCACCCCCTGCCTGAGCTTTGCCTCCACCTGGCTAGAGAGCTAGTGCTGACGACTGACAATAAATGCACAGCTCTAGCATGAAATAACATGGGCAAGAAAATGGCCTCTGCACTATTAACTCGGCCAGGCTGTTGCATGACAGGTGCAATGTACTCAATAGGCTTTGTTCTGCTTCTCTTATAATGTGCTCTAGGAGCCCAAGTTTTGGTCAAACCCAGCTTCTCAGCCTCACCTTCTGCACTCTGTCTAGGACTGCACAGAGCCAGAGCTTGGGGCAAGTTCAGGACCTGGTAACATCAAGGCCTCAGCATTGCCCCGGGACCTCTGCAGAGCCCTCACCTGATGTACCATTCCAGTAGATCTTTTTTTTGTTTTTTTGAGATGGCGTTTCACTCTTGTTGCCTAGGCTGGAGTGCAGTGGTGCGATTGTGGCTCACTGCAACTTCTGCCTCCCACGTTCAAACGATGTTCCTGCCTCAGCTTCCCAAGTAGCTGGGATTACAGGTACTTACCACCACACCTGGCTAAATTTTTTTTGTATTTTTAGTAGAGACAGGTTTTCACCATGTTGGCCAGGCTGGTCTCGAACTCCTGACCTCAGGTGATCCTCCTGCGTCGGTCTCCCAAAGTGCTGGAATTCAGGCATGAGCCACTGGCCCCAGCAGATCTTTTCTTTTTTTTTTTTGAGACAGTGTTACTGTCACCCAGGCTGGCGGGCAGTGGCGCAATCTTGGCTCACTGTAACTTCCGCCTCCTGGGTTCAAGCAATTGTCTTCCCTAAGCCTCCCAAGCAGCTGGGACTATAGGTGCACACCACCACACCCGGTTAATTTTTGTATTTTCAGTAGAGACGGGGTTTCACCATCTTGGCCAGGCTGGTCTTGAACTCCTAACCTTGTGATCCACCTGCCTTGGCCTCCCAAAGTGCTGGGATTACAAGTGTGAGCCACCATGCCCAACCCCCAGCAAATTTTTAGTTTGATTTATTTCCTGTAACTTCCAGAATAAAATCTACTTTCTAAACTTTCTCCCCAATCCTTGGAAATGTTATGTTCTCAGTAAAGTCAGTGAGCCCTTGTGGCAATGCTGAGTGGCAAAGGCTGCCTCTGGGTATGGAGAGATTCAGGCTGATGCCTATCCAGCGGCCCACACCATGTACCATTCTGTGTATGTGCGTGTGTGTGTGTGTATAAAGGGCCTATCTTTCCCATCCTGTGGGTGCAGAAGTTGCTTCTCCACACTGCCAGCCTGAACTTCTAGGTGCCAGTGGCTGCCTGAGAAGGACAGAGCCTGGCTGGGGCTGGTAACTGGGCTTAGGGCAGAGTCTGCCCTGAGTCCTGGTTCTGGTTTCAGTTCTACTATCTCTTCCCTATGAGGAGCTGGGCAGGTCCTTTGGCCTCTCTGGGCTTGTTTCCTCTTGGGGAAAATGAGGCAGTTGCACAAAACCCTTCTGGGGTCTACTCCAGCTCTGACATCCTAGGGTGTCAGCAGAATGGGGGAAAATTAAAGGAAAACCTATTAAAGTCAAATGACAGACTGTGAACCTGAGCTTTGGGATGACTGAGAGGGACTTTGTCTGAGCTGAGCCAAGCTGGCAACCTTGAGTCCTCCCAGCTGTGCCTTGTCCTCAATTTCCCTCTGATGTTTCTGAATCCTGACTGCCATCAACAGGTGGGGGTGGCCGAGCTCCATCTGTCCAGCAGCAACATATCTTGAGAAGCTACTCACCAGCAGTAAGTCCCCTCCTCCAAGCCCCTAGCCCTCTGTCCTTCCAAAGGGCAATATCTTATCAAAGTGCTGTGGGAAGGATGAGAGAAAACCTTACCTGAAATGTCAGTGACTTTGATAGCTGTAGCTTGAGGAAACTTTTCTTTGAGAATTTGGGTCACTCTGAGCTCCCCTTCAGTCTGGGAGGCAAACATCCGATGGACACAGTGAAGTGGAAGCTGCCACAAAACAGAGAGGAGGGTCAGGGCAGAGGGAGATGCTGCTGCCCCCGAGCTGGGCCACTGTGCAGGCCCCTGTCTACCATTCCCCTGTAAGGCAGGCCCCTGAGCCCTCGCCAGCACTGTCACGGGTTAATTCAGAGGGGCTCTGCAGTATTAGGAGTCCATGTAAGCCCTCCAGAACACAGAATAACCTTTTAATGACAGGGAGAGGATGATTTTTTTTTTTTTGAGATGGAGTCTCACTCTGTTGCTGAGGCTGGAGTGCCGTGGCCCAATCTCGGCTCACTGCAACCTCCACCTCCCAGGTTCAAGCGATTCTCCTGCTTCAGCCTCCTGAGTAGCTGGGATTACAGGCACACACCACCACGCCCAGCTAATTTTTGTATTTTTAGTAGAGACCATGTTTCATCATGTTGGTCAGGCTGGCCTTGAACTCCTGACCTTGTAATCCACCCGCCTCTGCCTCCCAAAGTGTTGGGATTACTGGCGTGAGCCACCACGCCCAGCCTAGGATGACTGTTAATAACTCAATTTGACTCCAGAGACAAGAAGTCCCAAACCTAATTCAAGAGATGCTTGATTCCTCATAATGTCATGTGATACTATTATGCTGATAGTTTTATAGGTAAGGAAACTGAGGCACACAGTAATGTACCCAAGGTTGAACTGGTTAAGAAGATGAGAAGCTGGACAGCCTGCCTCAGATCCATCCCACTAGGCCATCTGGCATCCATCGCCCCCGATGGTGAGGCCAAATTCCACACCCCCACTTTAGGCCTGATTAACATGTCTCACTCTCCCCAGTGGGATGTGACCTCACAACCCAATGCTCAATAAGCCAGCTATCCTTCATCATGTGCTCCTTCTCACTGAGGAGCAGCATCAGAATTCTATGAAAGGACCTGAAGAAGGAACAAGGAGGATCTGTAGGTTGTTTACCACTGGCATCAACACCCCTTCCCCAGTGGCTGCCACAGGGAGTCTGTGTTTCCTTTTTTTCTTTTTTTTTCTGAGACAAGAGTTTTGCTCTGTTACCCAGGCTAGAGTGCAGTGGCACAGTCTTGGCTCACTGCAACCTCTGCCTCCTGGGTTCAAGTTATTCTCCTGCCCCAGCCTCCTGAGTAGCTGGGATTACAGGTGCCTGCCACCATGCTCGGCAAATTTTGTATTTTTGGTAAAGATGAGGTTTCACATGTTGGCCAGGCTGGTCTCAAACCCCTAACCTCAGGTGACCCACCCACCTCGACCTCCCAAAGTGCTGGGATTATAGGCGTGAGCTACCGCGCCCAACCCAGGGAGCCTGTTTCTAATGGAACATGTCAACATTTAGGAGTAAAGGAACAGAAAACTGGTTGGCAGTCAGTTGGCTGGGCTGAGCTCATGCTGAAAAGGCAGACTGGGAATGGAGTATAGCAGGTCTTGAATGCCAGGCTAAAGATTGTGGACTGTGTCAGACAGATGATGTGGCTCCAGGTGATGGAACCCAGGCTCATGGTACCAAAGTAACCTGCAGGAAACAGTGCCTTCTGGAGCGAGTCAGGAAGAGGCATTACAATGGAGGAAGTACTGGGTGCTGGTCCCTGACTAGACATGGATGACAGGTGGGAGGACACTAGGGCCATTCATGGATGCTGGTGCTGATGTTCCCACCCCTCTAACCCTCAGTCCTTCCTGATAGCTCAGAGCAAGGTCCTGTGTCACAGAACTCAGAGCAACTCCTTTAAAACGAGCTGTGCACTGGCTCTCTCACCACTGGTCTTACAGACCAGAACTGAGTAGGGCAGCATCCCAGAGCTGACCCCAGGGGAGGCACTTGGTGTTGGATAGATGAATGAATGAGCAGGGGAAGAACTACTCAGTTAGGGACAGTTCTACTACTGGGCCCCAGCAGAGAAGTCTGACAGGCAGTTGAAACACAGGTCAGGAGAAAGGTCCAGGGTGTGATTGTCTGCCTGCTGTATGGAGGGACAGAAACTCAATGTTGAGAGACTGGACAGGATTGCTGGGGGTGAGGGTGGGGTGGAGCTGCTTCTGGGGGCAGAATCTTGGGGGAAAAGGCAAAGAGTAACCAGATGGCAGACAGAATCAGCAGCCACTAAGGGGTGAGAGTGGTCAGTGTTGCAGAATCCTTGGGAGAAGTCTTTCTTTCATCTTTTCAGATCTGTGGTCAGCGGCCTTTAGTGGAATAATCAACTGACAACCCAGATCATCACTGACCAAGCTCAAAGTCACCACAGTGGAAGAACTCTTCATGCACGGGCGAGGCAGGTATAGGTCCAGGGGAGATGGAAAATGAAAAGAAAGAGAAGTGTATGAACTGAAGCAAAGGATGAATCAGAAAGTGGGAGTAATTAGGAGAGCGCGTGGTAAGTGTCCCCAGCTTGGGTTCTGCTCCGGTAGTGTGGGATCTGGATAGGATCAAGGTCAGAGGCCCAGTCGACCTTCCCAAGGCCCCGGCTCCACTGCAGTCCCCTGCACCCACGCCTTGACCTCGGCTATGACTTCTCTCTTCCGCTCCGCAAATCATCTTTTTTTTTCCCTTGTGCCCGCTGTATTATGACTGTTTATGTGTCTGTCCGCCTGACCTCCAAACTCCACCCAGCTCGGGAGCTCCCCCAGAGCGCTCCGGAGCTTGAAATTTCGAATGCCGAACTCGCTGAGTGAATGAATGAATGAATGAATGAATGAGAGAAAGGAAGAGGAGGCCCCCAGTGGCCGGTGCCATGCGCGCCCCTCAAGCCCCGACAGCTGCCGGCCCCACGGTCCCTCCGCAGCTCCCGTCCCGGGGAGAGCAGCCCCGACCCAGCCCGCGCTCACCCCGCGTATCCCGCGGAGCAGAGGCGCTGCCGCAGCTGGGCTCCATGCCGCCATGCCCGGCTGACGCGACCCGCCGCCCGAGGTCACTATATGCCCGAAAGATGCGGAGCGGGAGACCGAGAGCAGCCGCCGTGGGAGAGGCCGCCCCCTGCCGCCCGGAGGCCGCCAGCCTCCCGGGGCCCCGCCCCAGTTCTCAAGGCCCCGCCCCGGAGGCCTCCGGTCGCCTGGCTCGGTCCCCCGAGGCTGCGGGACGCCGGGCCCCACCTCCCCCTCCCCTGGCTGACTCTCCACCCACGATACTGCAGCGCCTGTCGGCCTCGGGACCCCGCCCTCTGCCTGGGCTCGCCCCGCACTCATCCAGCCTCCCCAGGGCCGGTTTCACTGATAGGGTCCCCTTGACCACGTGAAAACCTTTTTCCTCCCCAGCTCAAAAACACTCCAAGGTCTTGGCGCCCGATACGAGACTTCCCTCATCCGAATACCTCTCGTGCCCCTGATGCACTTTTCCATTCCCACTCCCCACGTCGGCAGCCTAGCTTCTAACTGAGAGCTTGGCCTTCGATCCTGGTGTGGGAACTCGTGGAAGGATTTGATTCGCGCCTTAGAAAGATCGCTGTGCTCCTGCGAGGAGGAGGGCGTGTAGGGGCTGCCACTGGAGACACGGTCAGAAGCTCCGAGGCTACCGCGATGGTCCAGGTGAGAACGGAGGGGCCTAAACTAAACCAGTGGAAGGAGGAACTGAGAAGAGTGAACTGAGACACTTGGGAAGTGAACAGAATCGAGCGACTGCATGTTGGGGTGAGGGTGGGGAAGGTATCTGAGATGACTCCTGTTTCTGGCTTGGACAATGACTTGGATGGAGGAGGGTTAGTTGGGGGCTAAGCAGAGTCCTCGAACAGTTTTGAATTTGCCTGAGTTTAAGGTGCCACAGGACACAGCCTAGCAGAGGCCCAGGTTGGAGCCATGGACCACAGACCGTGAGAATGGAACGGAAGCTGACGCCATGTGGGATGGGGTAGAACTGTCAGCAAATTCGCCTCGCCTCTGGAGTCCTCAGACCAGTCAAGGCAGAAATTCAACCAAGCTCCTCCTCTCTCTAGCTGTATTTGTTTGTGCACGTGGTCTGATGGCACCCTGCAGGATTTACCAGCTTTTTGCCAATATTCTGGTCTATGTAATCAATACGTCCCTTCAGCGTTGCACTTGGATGGAGTGGACCTATAGTTGTTCTATACGGATGTTGTCTAAAACATTTATTACAATATTAACTGACTCCTAGGTTCTGGCCTTAAGAATTTCTCCTTTGGATCAATTACTAGCCTGTCTTACATTTTATGCTTCCTTCCTTTAAAATGTTTACAGATGATTTGCTAACTTCTAAGTTTTCTTCATTGAGTCAATGATGCAATTAAAACTGTCAAAAAAATTTTTTTCAAGCAGGATAATAGTGGTGAACCATCCCCTTGCTATTCAAACAGCATGGTTTAGATGAGGCACATCTATTCCCAGTTCTAGGAGTGGAAACAGGACCCAAGTCTGGCTAATCAGAGATTGGCTTAGGATTAGCCACATGATCTGAGCCAAACCAATGAGAGTTAGTATAGGGACTTTTCTGGAACTAAAGAAATGGATCCTGGCCAGGCGTGGTGGCTCACGCCTTTAATTCTAGCACTTAGGGAGGCCGAGGCGGGCGAATCATCTGATTTCAGGAGTTCAAGAGCAGCCTGACCAACACGGAGAAAATCTCAACTAAAAATACAAAATTAGCCAGACGTGGTGGTGCATGCCTGTAATCCCAGCTACTCTGGAAGCTGAGGCAGGAGAATCGCTTGAACCTGGGAGGCAGAGGTTGCAGGAGCCATGATCGCACCATTGCACTCCAGCCTGGGCAACAGACAGCCTTTTGCAACTTTTATTTTAGAATCAGAGGGTATATATGCAGGCTTGTCACAGAGGTATATTGCATGGTGCTGAAGTTTGGAGTATGAATGAATCTGTCCTTCAGGTAATGAGCATAGTACCCAATAGGTAGTTTAAATCCTTGCCCCTTTTCTTCCTTCCTCCCTCTTGTATTCCCCAGTGTCTATAGTTCCCAGACGTTGATCTTTTTCTGGTGTGCTGCTAAGCTGGTAGAAAGGCTGGAGTAGCTGGCAACCATCTTTGCAACCATGCAGGCAGAGCTACTTTGGAAATGAAGCAAGACAAAGAAGAAAACAGATAAAAGGAGACAAATGCTTGCCTTTGTTTGTACAGCTGGAAACCAGCAGTGCTGGAAATGAGCACTAAACCCAGTTTAATTGGGTTTCTCACTTGTAACCAAGTGAGGTTAAACAAAGCTTACAGATTTGTATTGGCAGAATTCTTCTTTTTATTTAAAAATGGTACTTTTGGCCAGGCAAGGTAGCTTATACCTGTAATCCAAGCACTTTGGGAGGCCAAGGCAGGCAAATCACCTGAGTTCAGGAGTTCAGAAATAGCCTGGCTAACATGGTGAAACCCCGTCTCTACTCAAATTACAAACCATTAGCTCGCCTTGGCGGCCTCTCTACCAGCTTTTTGTCTCCAAAAAAAAGGGTACTTTTGCTTATCTCTAATCTTCCATTTCCCCATAATTTGACAACTGCCCACACTGTTACTCTGAGCTACTCTCTGCCCATTTTCCTCCTATCCTGTTTCCCCTAGGCTGTCAGAACCATCTGAAATGAAAACATTTAGGCAGGGCATGGTGGCTCACGCCTGTAATCCCAGCACTTTGGGAGGTCAAGGCAGGTGGATCACCTGAGGTCAGGAGTTTGAGACCAGCCTGGCTACATGGTGAAACACCATCCTACTAAAAATACAAAAATCAGCCGGGTGGGGTGGCATGTACCTCTACTCCCCAGCTACTAAGGAGGCTGAAGCAGGAGAATCACTTGAACCTGGGAGGTGGGTGTTGCAGTGAGCCGAGATCGAGCCATTGCACTCCAGCCTGGGCAACTGAGTGAGACTCTGTCTCAAAAATAAATAAATGAAAACATTTACTACTTGAAATCCTTCAGACACCCCATCACCTACAGTTCTTTTTTATGATTTAACCACTATCTACCTGCCCAAATGAAATCTATCCTTCAGTAATATTATACTTGCATCTCCCTGTATAAGCTATGCTACAAGTTTGGTTATGCAGTTGCCCACTTTTTAATGCCCAGCTTTTAAGGTTCAAGCCTTGTCTTCTCCCAATGAGCCACCTCTGACTGCCACCTCTGTAAGCTTAGGGCCTGCAACTTACCTGTAACTTTTGTTGCACTTATGGCCCTTTACAACTATCAATTTATGTATGTGTCTGTTCTCACTGGTCTATAAGCTCCATGAGGACAGAGCCTTACTTGACATCTGGGACAAAAAGTGCATGCACTGTTATTACTGAACAGAACTGACAGAGGCTCAGCAATTCGCGCTCCACAGGTCTAAATTTGAAACTTTCTAAAAAAGGATTTGCAGGACAATCTGACCAATCTTGGGCTTCCAAATTAGTTCCAACAGTTCCAGTATTATTATTATTTTCTGGCAGAAACAAATAAAAGGTAAGTTTTACTTAATGATTAAAATAAAAGTGAAATGCATTTAGTCCCAGGAAATGAGTCAATGCTTTCTGCATCTTACTTTTTTTGCTGTGACCTTGAGATTCTCTTTTCTTCAGCTGTATTGGTCCATGATCACTCATAGCTTTCATACATATATTAAATCTGGGCCAACTCAGAAAATTAATTAGGTAGGAACTCTTTGGATGCACCTCCTTTTTTAACCTCATTAGGATTTTTCATCGTATCAGCGTTTTATTTTATAGAGCTTCCTAGTACTGTTGAGCATGCAGAATTTTTACAAATGCTATCCAGAGAAACAGAGGCCTGACTTGCTATGTACTATTTCAACTTGTCAGAGCTTCTGTGGCATGGTCTAAAGAATACTGAAATATTTCTGGCATATCTCTTAATTGCAATCACTTTCCCCAAGTTGCTTTATGAATTAAATGAGATAACCTACTAAAGGACTCCTGTAAAAAGCAAAAAGGGAGCTAGCTTTTGAGAGGTGCCATGGTGGAGACTGGCATCTAGTGGCCAGCGATGATGATGCAGGCTAGTGTCCACACCTAAGTGGGGATGGTGCAGGCTGTAGTGTGTCCATACGTAGTAGGGACATCAATGGGGTATTTGTTAGAGAAGGTCCATGGCATAGTTTGGACACTTTCTGGCTGTGCAGGTTGGAACCCAGCGTCTGGCTCTCCCAAAGATTAAGCTTATCCTTTTTATGATCAATTTTAGGCCTACTGAAAATATCAAAAGAAAAATAAAAGTGATTGCTAGTTTACTCATGGCTTATACAAAATTAGTATTAACTAGGCTGGGTGTGGTAGCTTATGCCTGTAATCCCAGCACTTTGGGAGGCTGGGATGGGCAGATTGCTTGCGCTCAGGGGTTCGAGACCAACCTGGGCAACATGGCAAAACCCCATCTTTACAAAAAATACAAAAAATTAGCTGGGCATGATGGTGCATGCCTGTTGTCCTAACTACTCAGGAAGCTGAGACAGGAAGATCACTTGAGCCTAGGAGGTGGAGGTTGCAGTGGACCAAGATTCTGCCACTGCACTCCCACCCTGGGCAACAAAGACCCCGTCTCAAAAAAATTAAATTATTGTTAACTTGTACTGTTTAGCCACATTCATTAAGTTTTTAATTTTAACTCTGTGGTCTCAGAACCAGGAATGTACAAAGAGATCTGGAGCCTGATTCACATGGCAGCAAGGAGACCACGCATTTTTGTCTGGTATGGGTTTTAGCCACTATCAGAGACATAGTTTGTTTCTTAGGCATTGGGTCCTAGTACTATGATACTTAGTTCATTTAGGAACTTCTATTTTTAAGGGCTAAGAAAACATTTTAGCCACTAAATGATATGCAAAGGTAACTTTCCAAATTTAAGCTGTACTCAAAAAATCCACAGAACCTGCAAAACTCTCAAGTTTCTATATTTAAACAGAAATAAGTGTGTTGATATACATACTTTAATCAGTCATTTCTTGCTTTCAATATATTTTATTCTGATGAAGTTACAAAAGTAGATACAAAATACTTTTTTTAAAAAGTACAGTTAACGGACTTAGAAAAATAGATAAAGCCCCTAAGGATTTTAAAATACAACATAAATTTTTATGTAAAGAACATTTAAAAATATTTTAGATGGTAACCAAAACTAACTTACGCAAACTATTTTTGATGTAGAATAGAATGTTGTTCTTAATAGTAAGTCTATAGCACACTGGTAATCCATTTGGACCTACAGAATATTTGCTTGGAATAGAATCTGATAATCAGAGAAAACCCAAATGAATGTCAATGCAGTTGCTTCAAAAAAAATTACTGCTACAACATATGCTATCATCCCCCAAGGCCTTTTAGTCTGAAATATCAAAATTCAGAGCAAAAATAGGATGACCTAAGGACTACTATTTTACCTCTTTGCCAGAATTCTACAACAGTACAAACCGAATTCACTTACTGAACTGATCTCAGGGGGAAATAATGTGCCTGCTGAAGGTGCTCAGCGTTTGGTGTCCAGGCGGGCATTTTTTGGGTGAGGCTTTGTTACCGACAGGAGGCAGGCTCCTACAACAAGGCAGCAGCTACACCAGCGCCCTAACTAGGGCTGCTTAAAAACAAATTTTCTAGGACTTATGCTCCTAGGGCCTGATTTATTAATGCTTATGAGGTAATGATATTATGTTTGAAGAAGCTCTACTTCTAGTACAACCTCAATGTGCAGACAGAAGGCCTACAATACAATCAGAAAATCATATTGGCAAAACTTAATATTACCGCCAAGATTGTTCCTCTTACCCCTGCACTACTAGAAAAACTTCACCTTTGTGACCTAAATCATGGTGAATACAGATTTTGCATTTCTCATGGAAGCAGCTGTATGAGCTAGGGTTCTACAAGCCTTAAATGAAAGGAAATACTTTGTTTGCTGGAAGTCCTGTAAAATCACTTTATTCACAATCTGAAGAAGGAAAGACACATTTGGCTGTCAATACAAAAACTGTAGTACAAGGAAGTTCAACTATTTAAAAATCTGTACATCACTGTCCAAGTTTTTCTGAAGGCCTGAAAATTAAAGCACCATAGGATTAATTGCATAATTTAGCAAGCAGTCTTCACCCCGTGACTGTAATCATGTATGAAGAGCAGAGATCAGACACTGAGAGATGACTTCTGATTAGCCAGGGGGAAGGGAGTGAGTGTTATGGAACAGACAAACCTTGGGCACTGGGAGATAAAAGTGAGAAGAGTCAAAAAGATTGATTTCTTCAAACTGTTATCAAAGGTTGGCCTTCTAGCCAAGTCAAGAAGGCGCCATCCTCTTCTCATTATCTCCCCTTCCTCCAATTCTCCTCCCCACCTTGGCTCCCTAGTCTTGGAGTTAACACTAATATTTAGGTGTACTGTTGGTTAAGCCAGATTGACTTGGGAACCTGGTAATGTTTTTATTTTTATTTTTAAAAAGGACAGTCTGAGTATCAAAATACGAACACATTTCTGATTTATGTCCTATTTATAAGCTGCCTTTACTACTATCCAGATGTGATCATCTTTCATTTGCTTTGGGGCTTAGAAAATAAGTGGAGAAAAGAGGTAACTTTTTTTGTTTGGTAATATTTGAAATATTAGAAATAATGAGGAATGTATAAGCTGAGCTGAGAAACTAGTTTCATCCCTTGTGGACTTAAAAAAGTAAAGCCAACAGGGTTTAAAGTTGAGAGGCAGTTCACAGCCTAAGTGACATCTAGAAACCTGCTTTCTTGTTTGCAAATGATCAACATGAACATACAGAATGGCTGACATTTGAACCTTTGGATAAGCTTAAAACATGGATTGTGGAATGTCTAATAGAGGACTTTTCTCTCCTTTTTTCATAATGACTGTCCCACACTTTAATTCCTCAATGATATGTGGATGCTACCTAAATCAGATGAAATGTTCTATTTCCTTTAAAATTCTGTATATATTTAAGAATTTATAGAAAATGATGATTTAAAATGGAGTTTCTAAGTAATTATTTTCTTTATAGTTTAGTGGAATAAGAAAAAAATTCAAAAAAAAAAGCCCCATCAAATCTAACTTTTATCAAAGCCATCAAGGAGGTTGGTAAAGTACTTTGCCAAAACCACAGCTCTGAACCACATAGAATGCTGATGAACTTAAAGCTTTGCCAGTTTGGCAAGTCTTCCAGTATAATAATTGTTGAGCCTCAGTACATTTTAAATAGACTGCTAGAGTTTACTATATCCTAGGAACCAAATAAAAAATAAATGTTTTCTTCACTCAAGGGGAAGGTTTTTATATCCCAATAGAAACAGGAATTTCAAGTTTTGATACAAAAGCAATTAAGATAAAAACCCAAGTGGGAACTCAGTCCATCTTTTGAATATTAACAGAATGAGGATTTTTTTAAACTTATTTCTCCCATTTTGTCTCCTTTAAACACATACACCCACTCACTCTCTCAAGAATAGGTAGCACACCAAAACTTTAGCTGTGTTGTAAGATGCGTACACCTTCGCGGTTTATTGTGGTTTTCCTTAAGTTTTATCCTCATTAGAATAAAGTTCATGCATTTCTACACTATTCTTCACTAAGGCTCAAGACACAATAAAAACATAGAAGTAATTTTTTTAATAAAAGGAAATAAAATAATCAAGTACTCTGAGTATTTTCCTCCATTCTCTTATTCAGAATTTCAAAGCCTCTGAAAAATAATGAAATAATAAAAATAGTGGTTTTGAGATCTAACTTTGTTATAATATTTTGGATTCCTTTTCTCAGCCAAAAGCTACTATTTGAATGAAGCTTTTCTAAAAGCCTAGAAGACCATTCTTAGAAGACATAAAAAAATTACTTCTGATATACACACTCCTAATAATTTAGACAGATGTGAAAACAATTCCAAATAAAGATCAAAAAATAAAGTCCCTGTAAAAATAACTTTGGTTGCTCCCACCCACACATGCCATATGATGATTTAAACTGCAATCATGAATTCTGAAAAAATATACGTATCTTATCTATAAAAACACTACCATACTAACTTGAAACTAAAATGTTATCTGAAGTGACACACATGTTCTAAATCTCAAGGATACTTAAAAATACATCTTTTATTTGTAAAATAAAAGAATAAAACCAATCTGATTGTGTTATTAGGAAATTTGTTCTGGAAAAGTATTCATAAATTATTGATGGAAATGCTTAATGTCCATTATGCTGTCACTTAAAATAGATTCAATCATTTTCTTGTAAAGAAATGACTGAGTAAAAGAATAATAAGTAAACTTATAAACTAAAGGTTAATCATCACATATTACAACCAGGTATGACTCTGTGATAATAATCGGAGTCATACGTGGTTGCTATCACAGTACTTATGATCTGGCTGTGTCCTTAAGGTCTTACTTGGAAACTATCGCCAACCTACCTTTGGGATAATTTTATCAGTAGACACAGACAACGGGTATCTTTTTATTCTGTTTTCTTAAAGTTTGTATCACTAGTCTGTAACAGATAGCAATGAGATAGTTCTAGCAATAGATGAAGCAAGAGGGTAACTGTGTTCTAGAAGAAACATTTATCTGTCTTTTGATCCAAGTTTCTCTATTAATTCTTGAAGAGGTGCCAGCTCACGCCTATCAATCAGATTAAACTCCTAAAAAGAGAAGAAAAATAACATTTAAAAATGGATCTAAAACTGAAACTCTTTAATTGTCCTTTGGAGAAGGGATTCCCAACCCTAGTTTTCTGAAGTCCAAAAGAATCATTGAATAACCTCTGTGATCATTTTAAAATAAGTATTCATTCTCTTCTTTTCTTTTTCTTTCTTTTTTTTGTTGTACAGATGTGGTAACGCTATTTGCTAAGGCCGGTACTGAACTTCGGCTTCAAGTGATCTGCCCACCTTGGCATCCCAAAGTGCTGCAATTACAGGGGTGAGCCACCATGCCTGGCCCTCTTTTTAAAAATATAGGTATGACATTGTGATCTATGTATTTGGTTTTCCTCCCTGTTTCCTGACACATAGCTCGTAAAACCCTTGCTGGAATTACCAGAGTGGTAAGAGTATCTTGTATGCTAATGAGATGACTGGTGACTGGGGCTCCTATAAAGCTTCAGGATGGGAACTGGTCAACCTTCAGCCAGCCCTCTCTCTGCAGATCACAGCCTCTGGGGAGGGGAGAGGGCTGGCTAAAGGCTGAGTTGATCACCAATGGCCAATTATTTAATCAATCATGGCCAAGTAATGAAGTTTCCATAAAAACACCAAAAAAAGGGACTCAGGAGAGCTTCTGGACACCTGAACACATGGAGGTTCCTGGACCATGGCATGCCTGGAGACAGCATGGAAGCCCCTTCTCTGCTGGCCCTACACATCTCTTCCATCTAGCTGTTCATCTGTATCTTTTGTAACATCTTTCATAATAAATGGGTAGAGATAAGTAAGTATTTCCCTGAATTCTATGAGCTGCTCTAGCAAATTAATCAAACCCAAGGGGAGGGAGATGGTAGGAACCCTGGTTTACAGTCGGAGGCATAGATGACAATCTATTACTTTTGATTGATATCCAAAGTGGGGGGCAGCCTTGTGTGACTGGGCTCTCAACTTGTAGGGTCTGATGCTACCTCCAGATGGTATCAGAACTGAATCAAATTATAGGGCATTCATCTGGTATCCACTGTATAAATGATCATTTGCTTGTTGTGTGAGGGACAGTCCCCATGTTTGGTCACAGAAGCATTCTGTATGGTGAGAGTACAGGAGAAAACAGGGAGTTTGTTTTCCAATATTCTTAACAATAGGAGAATTTTAAAGAAGCAACTCTAGGTATCAGTACGATCCTCACTTTGTTAAACATTGAAATCAAAACTGTATATATATATTTCTATTTACGTAGAAATTACCTGAAAAAGGCTGGGTATGGTGGCTCATGCCTATAATTCTAGCACTTTGGGAGGACGAGGCAGGTGGATCACTTGAGGTCAGGAGTTTGAGACCAGCCTGGCCAACCTGGTGAAACCACATCTCTACTAAAAATATAAAAATTATCTGGGTGCCTGCAATCCCAGCTATTTGGGAGACTGAGGCAGGAAAACTGCTTGAACCCAGGAGACAAAGGTTGCAGTGAGCCAATATCATGCCACTGCACTCCAGCCTGGGCAACAGAGCAAGATTCTGCATCCCCCGCCGAAAAAAGAAACTACCTGAAAACTACAAACTGAACTTTTGATAAAGGGGCAGTAGACCTTTATGCAACAATCTGAGAAGAACAATCAGAAAGAGCATGGTACAGTACACAGAACTGTAATATGTAGTATCTACTATAAAGCTACCAGAAACTATCTAGACAGACATATGTATGTAATGCAATATGCAAAATACAAGTATCTCTAAAGTTAGGCTAAAGGCGTACCAATTCTTTGATATCTTTTTCAAACAATGTGAATTATTTTTTAATTTTTAAAAGTTCCAATTCTAGCCAGGCACAGTGGCTCAGGCCTGTAATCCCAGCACTTTGGGAGGCCGAGGTGGGTGGATCACCTGAGGTCAGGAGTGCGAGACCAGCCTGCAACATGGTGAAACCCCGTCTCTACTAAAAATACAAAAATAAGCTGGGTATGATGACACGCGCCTGTAATCCTAGCTACTTGGGAGGCTGAGGCAGGAGAATCACTTGAACCCAGGAGGTGGAGGTTGCAGTGAACCAAGATTGTTCCACTGCACTCCAGCCTGGGTGACAGAGAGAGAGACTGTTTCAAAAAAAAAAAGATACTTTTTTATACTGCCTCACACATCAATAAACAATGTGGGAAAGAGAACAAAACAGAAAAGAGAAGCTTGCCTGTAATTGGTACTACACGTATAAATAAGACACACTGCTCTTTGTTGAAGTTCCCATTTCAAACAAGTCCAAGTCACAGGACACAGAAATCGACATGGTTCAACTTACCTGAACAAAAAAAATAAAGTGCTTAAAGGAGGTGTTGAGGTGGGCCTCCTCTTGCAGCTGCATCACAGAATCAAAGTGCTGGTGATAAATATGGGCATAAACCCTGAACAGGCGCTTTAGAATAGTCTTTGCCACAGACATAAAGTTTTTGGGAAACGGGACACCTGTAATTAAATACACATATATAACAATTAGTTTGTTATCTAATTTAACAGTAGAAAGTTGTTTGTGATAGGGTATCACTTTGTCACCTAGGATACAGTGCAGTGGTATATCTCAGCTCACTGCAGCCTCAACCTCCTGGGCTCAAGGGATCCTCCCACCTCAGCCACCGCCCCATCCCCCCAAGTAACTTGAACTACAGGTGCATGCTATCACACCCAGCTAATTTTTTGTATTTTTTGTAGAGATGGGCTTTGCTATGTTGCCCAGGCTGCTCTTGAACTCCTGAGCTCAAGCGATCGACCTGCCTCAGCCTCCAAAAGTGCTGGGATTACAGGCGTGAATCACCATGCCCAGCCTAACAGTAGAAAGTTTACACACTGCCATGAGCACCTGCAACATATAAACACACACATTCACAAATACACACAAACCTACCTCTGTGTGTGTGCATGTGTGTGTGTGTGTGTGTGTATTTTAGTTAGAGGCAGAGTCTCACGGTCGCCAGGCTGAAGTGCAGTAGTGCAGTAGTGTCATCTTGGCTCACTGCAACCTCTGCCTCCCAGGTTCAAGTGATTCTCCTGCCTCAGCCTCCCAAGTAGCTGGGACTACAGGTGTGTGCCAAATGCCTGGCTAATTTTTTGTATTTTTTTGTACAGACGGGGTTTTATCGTGTTAGCCAGGATGGTCTCAATCTCTTAACCTTGTGATCCACCTGCCTTGGCCTCCCAGAGTGCAGGGATTATAGGCGTGAGCCACCACGCCCGGTTTCTGTACAAGTTTCTTAAAGGAAGTAAAAACCCAAACCCATGTCCTCACAAAGTACCACGTTTTTCTCACTGTCTTAGGCATAGGTATCAAATTATGTAAGATGCTGTCGAATCAAAGATCAAAAATCCACTAGTTTCAGTTTTTTTTCTGGAGACAGTCTCACTCTGTCACCTAGGCTGGAGTTCAGTAGCACAATCATGGCTCATTGCAACCTCCACCTCCCGAGGTCAAGCAGTCCCTCCACCTCAGCCTCCGAAGTAAATGGGACTATAGGTGTGTACCACTACGCCTGGCTAAATTTTGGGTTTTTTTTAGTAGAGACGGGATTTCGCCATGTTGGCCAGGCTGGTCTCGAACTCCTAGCCTCAAGTGATCTGCCTGCCTGGCCTCCCAAAGTGCTGGGATTTAGTTCTTTAATATTAGAGAGTTTCTTTCTGAAATTAAATGCAACAAGAGTAAGTATTTTGATCATAAATATTTTTACTTTTTGTAATTTGTAACTCTAAAGAAATTACACTGGCTCAGCACAGTGGCTCATGCCTGTAATCCCAGTATATTGAGAGGCCAAGGTAGGCAGATTGCCTGAGTTTATGAGTTCAAGATCAGCCTGAGCAACAAGGTAAAACCTCATCTCTTAGGAAAAAAAGAAGAAATTACATATATATGCACTCTCAATGAGGACTGAAAACTCTCCTAAGCAAAAGAAAAAGGTGGCCAGGCACAGTGGCTCACACCTGTAATCGCAGCACTTTGGGAAGCCAAGGCAGGCAGATCACAAGGTCAGGAGTTCGAGACCAGCCTGGCCAACATGATGAAACCCCATCTCCACTAAAAATACAAAAATTAGTTGGGGCGGTGGCAGGAAGCTATAATTCCAGCTACTTGGGAGGCTGAGACAGGACAATTGCTTGAACCTGGGAGACAGAGGTTGCAGTGAGCTGAGATCACACCACTGTACTCCAGCCTGGAGGACAGAGCAAGACTCTGACTCAAAAAAAGAAAAAGGCTCACTTTATCTACATAGGAAAAATATTTTATCTTCTGAATACTCTGAAAGTCAGACTTTTCTTTCTGAAACTAATAGTCCCAACCTTTTAATTTTATTAAAGGGCTATTTTCATTTTTCTGATGCCTGAAAGGGAAGCATGTTTCCTGAAAAGGTGGTGGGGGGGGGGGTCCCCATTTTTCAAAGAAAAAAAAAACACCTTCTTAGAAGGGGCCGGGTGCAGTGGCTTACACCTGTAATCCCAGCACTTTGGGAAGCCTAGGTGGGCAGATCACGAGGTCAGGAGTTCGAGACCATCCTGGCCAACTGCCTCTACTAAAAATACAAAAATTAGCTGGGCATGGTGGCACACCCCTGTAGTCTCAGCTAATGGGGAGGCTGAGGCAGGAGAATTGCTTGAACCTGGGAGGGGGAGGTTGCAGTGGGCCGAGACTGTCCCACTGCACTCCAGCCTGGTGACAGAGCAAGACTCCATCTCAAAAAAAGAAAAAAAAAAGAAATAAAGAAAACAACTGGGGTAGAGTTTGGTATCCTCTTTCCAAGCAGTGGCGATGGGGATCCAACTGGTTACCTTCCTGAGAATTTTTGTTGACAATACCAAAGTCCATTAGAAGACAAGGCCAGGCATGGCCAGGCATGGTGTCTCATGTGTGTAATCCTAGCACTTTGGGAAGCCTAGGCAGGCAGATCACATGAGACCAGGAGTTTTGAGACCAGCCTGACCAACATGGCAAAAGCCCATTTCTACTAAAAATACAAAAAATTAGCCGGGTGTGGTGGCATGCACCTGTTAGTCCCAGCTACTTGGGAGACTGAGGCATGAGAATTCCTTAAACCTGGGAGGCAGAGGTTGCCATGAGCCATAATCATACCTCTGCACTCCAGCCTGGGTGACTGAACAAGACTCCATCTAAAAAAAAACAAAGAAAGAAAGAAAAGAAAAGAAAACAGAGAGGAGAAAGACAATACAATTAACATTGACTACAGTAAATAAACATATTAAGACATAAGAAAGAAAGCATCTGCTTCCAAAATATCCTATATTAATTGGCCTCAATGGCCTGTTCCATAATACTACTCTTGAAACACATTCTTTTTACACTCGTTCAGAAAACAAGGGCTTAAAACACTCTTTCCCTGCATTTTTTCCCAGCCAGTTCTCAATAATCTGAAACTTACTATACTTTGCTGATTTCTGTGGTTATTCGCCATCACCACCCCAGTCCTGGTTAAGTTGACTTTTCAAACATTATCCTGGAGCTTATAGGCATGTTTTCCTGGGCAGGATCCTGTATTCATGTACTGAAAAAGCAGATTTCTGGCCAGGTGCAGTAGCTTATGCCTGTAATCTCAAGCTCTTTGGGAGACTGAAGCAGAAAGGCTGCTTGGGTCCAGGAGTTTGAGACCATCCTAGGCAACACAGTGAGACCGCATGTCTACAAAAAATTTAAAAATTAGCTGGGCATGGTGGCACACATGCCTGTGGTCTCAGCTACTCAAGTGGCTGATGTAGGAGGACCACCTGAGTCTGGGAGTCGAGGCTACAGTGAGCTGTAACTGTACCACTGCACTCTACCCTGGGAAACAGAGTGAGACTCTATCTCAAAAAAAAAAAGCAGATTTCAAAATCAAATGTCTTTCCTATCAGAATATATAAATGGGCATCTTTCTAATAAAAGGAATATTAATAATTTGCATATATTAGTAAAAAATTGATAATAAGCAGTTCTGTCTGAGACTAAATAACTAGCAAAAGTAAGATGTAGATAACAGCCTAATGTGACGGGAGTGGGAGTGAGAGGTGGTGGATAAGAATGAATTATTTAAGAATGAGAAAGTGAGAAAAGAGCTAGGCACAGTGGCTCACACCTGTTAATCCCAGCACTTTGGGAGGCAGAGGTGGGTGAATCACCTGAGGTCAGAAGTTTGAGACCAGCCTGGCCAACATGGTGAAACCCTGTCTCTACCAAAAACTATAAAACTAGCCAGGTGTGGTGGCAGGCCCCTGTAGTCCCAGCTACTTGGAGGCTGAGGCACGAAAATCACTTGAACCTGGGAAGTGGAGGTCACAATGAGCCAAGACCTGGTCACCAAAAAAAAAGAAATAGAAAAAAAAAGTGAGAAAAGAGGATAAAATCAAAATAATTCTTTACCTTCCAAAGGGGAGACTTTAATGAATAAAGAAATAAGTAATTTGTTTAAATCTAAACACTTTCCAAGCTGAATTTAACAAGATATATTCAAGCACAGTCAATATAAAATAAAGATATGTGATAAAGGAAAAAGGTTTAACAGCAGAATGGAAAAACTGACCAACAGCAAACAGACCAAGTGTAACAACTTGGGAAAAAATTTTTTCCTGAAAGAGCCTCTATACGACTGCAAAAAGGAATTCAAAAATATGTTGATCATAAAATACCCTTAAGTTGAAAATAACAAGGATTGATCTCGTCCATGAAAACGGATTCCAAACTGCTAATCAAAATATTAAGAAATAAATACTCTTCCAGCAGAACTTTTTTAAAAAATGGAGAAAGCATTATGGTCATCAGCAACAGATACTGGTAAAGCATCTGATAAAACTCTACAACCATTCCTCATTAAAAAAAAAAATTTGTGGCCAGTAATCCCAGCACTTTGGGAGGCTGAGGCAGGAGGATCACGAGGTAAAGAGATCGAGACCATCATGGCCAACATGGTGAAACCCCATCTCTACTAGAAAAATACAAAAATTAGCTGGACAAGGTGGTGTGTGCCTGTGGTCCTAGCTACTCGGGAGGCTGAGGCAGGAGAATTGCTTGAACCCAGGAGGTGGAGGTTGCAGTGAACCAAGATCGCGCCACTGCACTCCAGCCTGGTGCCTGGTGACACAGAGAGACTCTATCTCAAAAAAAAAATTTTTGTTTGTAATATAAATGGTGCATATTTTTCATTAATACAATTTTTTAAAAAGTCTATATACTTCTAGCCCAAAGCCAACATTTCTGCTTACTGCTGAAATGCTAGAAGTACTTGCATAATAGTAAGAAAGCAAGAAACGGATGTTTGCCATCATTACCATTACTTGGCATTAGCTGAAAATAACACTGAGTGCAATAATTTAAGTGTAAAACAAGAATGTATTATCAGAAAGGAAGAGGCAAAATGAACACTATCTTATATGACACAGTTGTATACTTTAAAAATTCAAGAGAACCAACCAAAAACTAACAGAAAAAGAGTCTGATGGTTAATTATAAAATTTAAATAAAATCCACAGCAAGTCTACCGGTGGCTCACACCTGTAATCCCAACACTTTTGGGGGGCTGAGAAAGGAGGGGTGCTTGAGTCCAGGAGTTCGAGACTAGCCTGGGCAACAAAATGAGACCTCATCTCTATAAAAAGTAAAATTAGCCAGGTGTAGTGGTGCGTGTCTATAGTCCCAGCTACTTGGGAGGCTACGGTAGGAGGATCTGTGGAGCCCAGGAAGTCAAGGTTCCACTGAGCTGTGATCACACCCATGCACTACAGCCTGGTCAACAGAGTGAGACACTGTCTCAAAAACAAATAAAAAATAAATTAAAAAATAAAACCTAACAGCTTTCCTATACACCAAATAAGAAGCTGGAAACCAGATTATCAATAAAAGACAATGCCTAGAATAAAATTAAGAAACTTGAACACCTGATATAAACTACAGAATTTTACAAGAGAAAATAAAGCTAAAGACGTGAATAAATGGACAATATCTTGTTCTTGGCTAGGAAGATTCAGTAAAGAGAAAAAGAATCCCTATCTATAAAAATTAAATATAGTCGGCCAGGTGCAGCGGCTCACACCTGTAACCCAACACTTTGGGAGGCCAAGGCAGGCCTCCTGACTGAGGTCGGGAGTTTGAAATCAAGCTGACCAACGTGGAGAAACCCCGTCTCTGCTAAAAATACAAAATTAGCTGGGCATGAGGGGCGCATGCCTGTAACCCCAGCTACTCAAGAGGCTGAGTCAGGAGAATCACTTGATCCTGGGAAGTGGAAGTTGTGGTGAGCCAAGATCATGCCATTGCTCTCCAGCCTGGACAATAAGAGTGAAACTCAGACCCCCCCCCAAAAAAATTAAATATAGTCATAATTAAAATCTAATTTTTTTTTACTTTTACAAAATGTTTCTAAGTTCTTTGGAAAAACAAATAACCCAGAATAGCTCTGAATATTCTGAAAAAGAAGAGCAAGGAAGGGAGACCATCCTTATAAGATGCTAACAGATGCATGCCCACAGTCATTAAAAGTGTGGAATTTCTAAAGGAACAGATAAAGAGACTAAAACACAGAAAAGTATGTGGCAATTTGTTGTGTGTACAAGATAATCAGGGGAGAAATGGCAAATGTATTTAATAAATGGTATTGGGACAAACTGGCTAGTATTTCTATTTGGAAAAAAATTAATTTAGCACTCAGGGAAAAAAAAACCTTCCTGCCCAGGCCTGGTGGCTCATGCCTGTAATCCCAGCACTTTGGGATGCCAAGGCAGGTAGATCACTTGAGGTTAGGAGTTCATGACCAGCCTGGTAAACATGGTAAAACCCTGTCTCTAATAAAATACAAAAATTAGCCAATGCTGCAAGTACTTGGATGTAAATAAAATATTAAAAAAAAGAAAAAGAAAAAAAAATTAGCCAGGCGTGGTGACATGCACCTGTAGTCCCAATTACTAGGGAGGCTAAGGCAGGAGAATTGCTTGAACCTGGGAGGTGGAGGTTGCAGTGAGCCAAGATCACGCTGCTGTACTCCAGCCTGGGCAACAGAATGAGACTCTGTCTCAAAAAAAAAAAAAAAAAACATGAAGAAGAAAAGAAAAAACAAGATTTTTATAATCTTGAAGCAGGGAAAAGTTTTCTAATTGTTATATTAAAACCAAGTCACAAAAGATATAATTAATAGGACAAAATAATAAGAAGGTTGTATATAGCAAAAATACTCTGTGAACAAAATGAGACTAAAGGTAACCCAGGGAAAAATACATACAACATGTATGACAAAGCGCTAATATCTTTTACACAGAAATAGATGAAAGATATAAGCAGAAAATAATCAATAACACAAAAAAATGCTAAAATGCTCAATCTCATCAATACTTTTTTTTTGGGGAGGGACAGTCTCGCTCTGTCACCAGGCACCAGGCTGGAGTGCAGTGGTGTGATCTCGGCTCACTGCAACCTCTGCCTCCCGAGTTCAAGCAATTCTCCTGCCTCAGCCTCCCGAGCAGCTGGGACTACATGCGTATGCCACCACACCCAGCTAATTTTTTTATTTTTAGTAGAGACTGGGTTTCACCATGTTGGCCAGGATGGGCTCGATCTCTCGACCTCGTGATCCGCCCGCCTTGGCCTCCCAAAGTACTGGGATTACAGGCATGAGCCACCGTGCCTGACCTCATCAGTACTTTTTAAATGTACATTAAAAAATAAATTTAACCAAATTAGAAAATATTAAAAAATGAGTAATAACGACTGTTTGTGAAGATATATAGCCAAACACAAACATGGCTGGAGGAAGTGCATGTTGGTACAACCTTTTTGGAGGAGAATTTGGCAGTCTCTACTAGTACAACAATGTTAAAAAGAGAAACAGGCTGGACACACTGGCTCAAGCCTATAATCCCAGCACTGTGGGAAGCCAAGGCAGGAGGATCACTTGAGGCCAGGAGTTTGAGACCAGCCTGGACAACATAGTGAGACACACCATCTCTATTTATATTAATAAAATAAAATTTTTAAAAAAGAGAGAATACTTCTACAATGTTAACTCACCAATCTTAGAAGGAAAAAGAGTTTCATCATCAAGCTGATCCTGAACCCAAGTCATCAAATAGTCAATGTATTTTGGTGCAGAACATTTGATTGGCTTTTTAATATTAGTACCATCTGCCCAATGATATTCATATCTGGAGAGAAAAAATATTTTACTGATAAATTTTTCAAAAATATTAACAAATGTGCAAGTTGTAATTAAAACAGGTTCATTCACATTTTGTCAACAGAAGTTATAGCTAACTTTAATAAATCACCTAAAGTCTGCTGAAGATTACTACGAGTTCCCTAGAGAATTATCCTGAAAGTGACAGTTACAACTGGAAGGAAAAAGGGAGATAATGTGGCAGGAGGAAATGCCAGGATAGATGTTTTATAAACAACGCAGCCCTGGGAAACACGAAGGAACTACATTCCTGTCTGCAAAGGCAGATGGTTACTGAGAACTGGGTAAGGAGCCAATGAATCCACGACATTCTTCTGAGATTCTTGGCCATCAATGTATTATTATTGGTAGAGTCAAGATTATAAAACTCAGTTTTGTGGACCAGGTGTTAGAGATATACACTTAGGAAGGCATACTTTGCCCCCTTACCTTTGCTGAGCTAGAAGGATTAACAATAGTTATATAAAACATCACTGTGTAAGGCATTTGAGCCATAGGTAAGTTTAACTTTCCTGTTTTATTTCTTTTAAAGCTTGAGGAAAAAAACTTAACACAACATAAAATAAAAACATTTTTCCTAAAATAGTATAATAAAAATAGGACTATAAACTCATTAGAGATCTTTTTTCCTTTACACTTGTAGCAAAGTCACAAAAGACAATCATTTCTAAGAGGCAAACATCTTGATAACATCTATTATCACATTAAATCAGTCATTTATTATAAGAAAAAAAACTGGAAGGAAACACAGCAAACATTAAACCCATCATATGATGGACTTAACATTATGAGTGATAGAGTTCCATCTTCTTCATTATCCTTGAAATTTATTAAAGTCCAAACATTTTTAAATCTAGCATCTTCAAGCCAGATAATTACTTCTAAAGTGTGCTGCTTTAGATACTAAATAAGCACAAGAAAAAAATAATCAAATATTAAAGGTCAACTAAAAACTCTTTCAAGAAATTCATTTAAAAACTAGAAAGAGAAAACATAAATGCTATTAATAAAATTGAAAAAATAAAATGTTTGCTATTCAAGACAAATATAACTCAAATTTGTTTACTTCTATAATAAAACATTCAGACTTACTATGATGCAATATAAAAATGAAAACAGGAAGTACCCACATACCAAAGTATTTAACAGTAACTAATAGCTGGCCAGGCATGGTGGCTCACACCTTTAATCCTAGCACTTTGGGGGGCTGAGGCAAGTGGATCACTTGAAGCCAGAAATTTGAGACCAGCCCTGGGCAACGTGGTGAAACTCCATCTCTACTAAAAATAAACAAATTAACTGAGAGTGGTGGCACACTCCTCTAATCCCAGCCACCTGGGAGGCTGAGGCATGAGAATCACTTGAACCTGGAAGGCAGAGGCTGCAGTGAACCAAGATCACACCACTGCACTCCAGCCTGGTGACAGAGCAAGACTCTGTCTGAAAAAAAAAATAAAATAAATCACAAGGGAACTAAAAGTTTGCATGTGAGTAGTCAACAACCAATAAAACTGAATCACCTTCACACAAGCAAACAGATAACAAATCTTAGTTATTTAATTTATATCAATCGGTAATACAGTAAAAGCAATCCAAACACCTATATAATAGGCAGTATATGTACCTTGGACCTGCAGACATGACTGGACAGCTTGCTTCAGTGCAGAATTCTGTAATAGTTCCATATAACATGTTGATCTGGTTAAAGAAATCCACAGCTGCAGAGATAATAGAACTGTATTAAAATGTCTGTGTAAACACAAAATGTGAGTTGAAGTTGAAGGAAAAACAGACATTTAGGTTCTTGGCTGAACCCCCGAGACATTCAGTAATCCAATGATATTGTAAATTTTAAGTTGTCACACATAAAAACAGTTAACTTTTAATATACTAAGCTTTTTTCCCATGACAGTCTTGCTCTGTTGCCCAGGCTAGAGTGCAGTGGTATAATCTCAGTTCACTGCAACCTCCACCTCCTAGGTTCAAGTGATTCTCCTGCCTCAGCCTCCCAAGTAGCTGGGATTACAGGCCCATGCCACCATGCCCAGGTAATTGTGGTTTTTTTTTGTATTTTTAGTTGAGATAGGGTTTCACCATGTTGGCCAGGCTGATCTCGAACTCCTGACCTCGTGATCTGCCGGCATATAACAGCAGGAAAATAAGATACTGGAGATCATTCTAACTTCATGATGACTATTATATCATTTAAATATACAATATGGGCCGGGTGCAGTGGCTCACACCTGTAAATAATCCCAGCACTTTGGGAGGCCCCAGTGGGCAGATCACCTGAGGTCAAGAGTTCAAGACCAGCCTGACCAACATGGAGAAACCCTGTCTCTACTAAAAATACAAAATTAGCCAGGCGTGGTGGCACACCTGGCTAATTTCTGTATACTGCATATTGTAATTTTTGTATATTGTATACAATATGATTACATCCAGGAGAATGAAAAATCCATAGTTTATCAGTTTGGACCAGACAATACCATTTGTGTTAGGAAAAAGAGAAAATGTGTTGTGGAATATACTGTGAGGGAGAAGGTACACCAGTTGTATCCGGAGGCATTTAAAAAATTTAATTAATTATAAACATTTGTTTATGAGGTCTACAGCATATTGAGGACAAAATACCTCAGATAAAGTCCCTTGCTCTGGAGTCTCTAGCTAACAGAAGGGACAAAATTAAAAGAGATGAATAATACAAGTTATGGCCAGGCATAGTGGCTAATGCCTATAATCCCAGCACTTTGGGAGGCTGAGGTGGGAGGACTGGTTGAGCCCAGGAATTCAAGACCAGCCTGGGCAATAGAGTGAGACTCTATCTCTATGAAAAATTTGAGACGGAGTTTCACTGTTGTTACCCAGACTGGAGTGCAATGGCACAATCTCGGCTCACCGCAAACTCTGCCTCCTGGGTTCAAGCAATTCTCCTGCCTCAGCCTCCCGAGTAGCTGGGACTACAGGCGCGCACCACCATGCCCAGCTAATTTTTGTATTTTTAGTAGAGACGGGGTTTCACCTTGCTGACCAGGATGGTCTCGATCTCTTGACCTCGTGAGCCACCCGCCTCGGCCTCCCAAAGTGCTGGGATTATAGGCGTGAGCCACCGCACCCAGCCGAAAAAATTTTTTTTGATTAGCCAGACATGGTGGCACACAGCTATAGTTCCAGCTATGTGGGAGGCTGAGGCGAGAGGACTGCTTGAGTCCAGAAGGTTGAGGCTGCCGTGAGCTGTGATGGTGCTACTGTATTCCAGCCTGGGTGACAGAGACAGATCCTGTCTCAAAATAATAATAGCAATAATAGTACAAGATATAAGAAGACAGAATCCAAAGGCCAACAATAAATGCTAGAGTTCAGAGAAAAGGCAAAGTCACAAAGAGTTGGAAGTAGTCAGGGAGTACTTCCTCAAGGAGCTTCAGCTAGATCCGGAATAAAATGGAAGAGTAAGGGGGTGAGTAAATAAACTTTACTGAGTGAAGTATACTCTATGCAAAGAGAACCACATAAGCCTTAGAAGGTTTTAAAAAATATTTTAGGCTAGGTGTAGTGGCTCATGCCTATAATCTCAGCACTTTAAGAGGCCAGGATTTGAGACCAGTCTGGGCAACATAGCTAGATCCAGTCTCTATTGAAAATTTTAAAAAATAGTTTCACGCCTGTAGTCCCAACTACTCAGGAGGCTGAAGTGAAAGGATCCCTTGAGCCCAGGAGTTCGAGGTTGTTGCAGTGAGCTGTTGAGGGTACCACCACACTCCAGCCTGGGCAACCCTGCGTCAAAAAAATTAATAAATAAAATGTTTTAGTCTCCTGTCTAAAGAAGTACCTAAAAACAACTAGGGATTTTCCAAGTTTAAAAAAAAAAAAAATAGATTTTTTTAACGCTATTTTGTAAAAACGAATTTTACACAAAACTCCCTTGCTTATAAATCTTCCGCTAAGTCATGTTTCTAAGAAAGTTAACACTTAGGTATTCAATATTCACTCAAAACAAAAAGTATGCCCAGGTGGCAGTTGGTTTGGTCTAGAGCAGCTCTTCTCAAAATGTGGCCTAGGAATCCCCTATCTGAGGGAGGATCTGTAAGGTCAAACTATATTAATTGCTCTTTTCACACTTATTCTCTCAAGAGGGCACAATGGTGTTTTCTGGAGGCTCCATGATGTGTGATAATCACAACAGACTGAATATAGCAAAGGATCCAGCTGTGGCCAGGCGAGGTGGCTCACGCCTGTAATCCCAGCACTTTGGGAGGCTGAGGCGGGTGGATCATAAGGTCAGATCAAGACCATCCTTTCATCCATGGTGAAACTCCTGTCTCTACTAAAAATACAAAAAAATAAGCTGGGCATGGTGGCACACGCCTGTAGTCCCAGCTACTCGGGGGGCTGAGGCAGGAGAATTGCTTGAACTCAGGAGGCAGAGATTGCAGTGAGCTGAGATAGCACCACTGCACTACAGCCTGGGCGACAGTACGAGACTCTGTCTCAAAAAAAAAAAATCCAGCTGTCTATTAAGCTGGACATTAAATAAGATTTGCTGGCCGGGCGGTGGCTCACGCCTGTAATCCCAGCACTTTGGGAGGCCGAGGCGGGTGGATCACGAGTTCAAGAGATAGAGACCATCCTGGCCAACATGGTGAAACCCTATCTCTACTAAAAGTACAAAAAATTAGCCAGGTGTGGTGCTGCATGCCTGTAGTCCCAGCTACTTGGGAGACTGAGGCAGGAGAACTGCTTGAAACCGGAAAATGGAAGTTGCAGTGAGCCGGGATGGCACCACCGCACTTCAGCCTGGCGACAGAGCGAGACTCTGTCTCAACAACAACAACAAAAAAGATTTGCAAAAATATAAAACAACGCCACACTTCTCGCTAAAATTTGTTTTGGAAAACAGTCATTTTTCATAAAAACATATTTATGTTAACAGGTAATAGGTTTATTATTGTTATTTTAAAATGAACTTGGGCTGGGTGCAGTGGCTCATGCCTGTAATCCCAGTACTTTGGGAGATGAGGCAGGCGGATCACTTGAGGCCAGGAGTTCAAGACTGGCCTGGCCAACATGACAAAACCCTGTCTCTACTAAAAATACAAAAATTAGCTGGGCATCATGGCAGGCACCTGTAATCCCAGCTACTCAGGAGGCTGAGGCAGGAGAATAGCTTGAACCCAGGAGGTGAACACTGCACTTCAGTTTGGGTGACAGAGCAAGACTCCATCTCAAAAACAAACAAAAACATTTGTAGGACAGTCAGGGAAAATGTGAACATTGACCAGGTATTTGGTAAGTTAAAGGATAATGGCACTGTCATTATCTTTGCAAGTTCTTGTCTTTTAGACATACCTTATTGAAATATTTATAGATAAAATATCATGTCTAAGATTTGCTTAAAATAATCAAGGTGGCATACAGATGTAGCATAACTGGTCACAAATTGATATTTGCTGGAGCTGGATAATGGAATGAATACTTGGAATTCACTGTACTTAAGTCTCTCTACTTCTGTATGTTTGAAATTTTCCATTAAAAAGTTTTAAACGTTCCCGGAACAGCTGAAATTCCTAATTTAAACTTTATCACCCAGAAATGATCTCATCTCAAAAATGAGAGACTCTCACATGCAAATTTCTAGCCTTAGCATATTGTCCCATGTCATGCCTTCGTTCTCTTGAACTCAAAGTGACTTTCAGCTCAGATCCCTCCATTTTCTCCCAATCTCTCAATTCCCTCTGACACTCTAAGTCACAACTATCAACTGACTGGCCATATGAACTGCAACTGACTTTTCTGGATATACAGGCTGATGAGTACTGCTGGGAGTGGAAGAAAAACTGTATAGACGGATTCACTACAAAGTCACAGACCATGACATGCATAATCTTTTCATTTATCAATCTTTATTTGACCATACTCAGCTTTTCATACTACTCTCCTCAGAAACTGCCCAAAAGCACTCATCATTTCTTCTCAGGTCCCTCTAGTCAACCTTACAAGCTACCACCAAGTACTCTGAAAAGAACAACATAGTTTTGGATATATTTGTACTTAATGTTTCTTTACAGATAATCTGTTATATTAAACCAGTTATCTCTGTCAAAGAAAATTCATTAACCAAGAGATTTTAGCAAAACCTTTCTGTAAAACAGCAAAGTTGCATTTTAAAACTTACTGTTTACAGCAATCCATTCATTGAGATCCTCTCCCTCAGGCAACATAACAGCTTGTCTCAGATTCCCACTTCCTAGAGTTGCTTCTGCATGTTTTAGGAGTTCATACTGATGAGATCCTTCAGGGATATTCTTCTTTGGTTTGAATGTTTTAGAAGAGCGGCTGCTGCTGTAAGGTTAAAAGTGAAAGCATGTGACTTTTTAAGACTGGAAATACAACAGGTAGAACAACATAATTTTAGACATATAAAGTGGTCTGTTAAAATAAAATAAAAAATACTATCTGGGCCAGGCACAGTGGCTCATGCCTATAATCTCAGCACTTTGTGATCACCTGAGGTAAGGAGTTCAAGACAAGCCTGAACAACATGACGAAAGCTGTCTCTACTAAAAATACAAAAATTAGCTGAGTATGGTGGCGCATGCCTGTAGTCTCAGCTACTCGGGGGACTGAGACAGGTGAATCACTTGAACCCAGGAGGCAGAGGCTGCAGTGAGCCGAGATCGCGCCACCGCACTCCAGCCTGTGAAACACAGCGAGACTCTGTCTCAAAAAAAAAAAAAGAAACAAAAAAGCATACGCTCTGAAAAATGCCAAGATAGGAAGATGATGATCACAATAAAAGAATGCTTTTTTTTCCCCTGCACATAAAAGCAAGATTACCAGCACAATTTCACAAATAAGGCAATTTCACTATACCCTCTGAAGAAGTCTGGTACAGAGAGGGTAGTTTAACCAAAGGAAAATCTGAGATTTAGTTGTTGATCTGACACCAACTATGTCTTCTTGAGAAGCTAAACCTTCTTTTGGCCTCAATTTCCGTTTTTTTTGTTTGAGATGAAGTCTTACTCTGTCACCCAGGCTGGAAGGTAGTGATGTGATCCTGGCTCACTGCAACCTTCACCTCCAGGATTCAAGCAATTCTCCTGCCTCAGCCTCCCAAGTAGCTGGAATTATAGGAGCCACCACCACGCCCAGCTAATTATTATTATTATTTTTTTAAGTGGACATGGGATAGTGCCATGTTGACCAGGCTGGTCTTGAACTCCTGACTTCAAGTGCTCCACCTGCCTCAGCCTCCCAAAATGCTGGAATTACAGGCATGAGCTACTGTGCCTGGCCTCAATTTTCACCTATAGAAAATGGTGGTGCCAAGTGCAGTGAGAGGCTCGCACCTGTAATCCCAGCAGTTTGAGAGACCACGTTGGGATGATTGGTTGAGCCCAGGAGTTCAAGACTAGCCAGGACAACATAGCAAGGCTTCATGAGGGATGGGAGAGATAGAAAGAAAATGGTGCAGGGAGGTTTAATTCAAAAATCCAGTTTTCTATATTAAAATATTTGGGATGCCTTGAAAGCAAACCACAGTAAAAGAAACACTAACATCTTTAAGTTTATAACTGGGAAAATAAATGAGACAGCCATAATTCATTACTGAGGAAAAAAATATTTTTATTCCTATCTGACACCATCCATAAAGTCTTCCTAACATGACACAAAACTCAGAAACCTCAAAGAAAAAAATTGACAGATTTCAAACAGTATCAATTAAAACTTCCATAACAGAGCAAAAAGACAAGTAACCAAAAAAAGGTACTTGTAACATATATTACAAAGGATGAACCGGTAATAGAGGGCTTCTATAACTCACTAAAAATATAAGGAATCCTTTGGAAAAATAGGCTAAGGAGATGAATACGCAATTCAGTAAAAGTATGACAATCAATGAGCATGTAAAAAACTGTTCAGTTAAAGTAAGATTTATTTTTTCCCTAATCTGAGTGGCAAAAGTTAAAATGATTACATTAAATGTGGAATAGGGCAGGGGCTTCTAACCCCAGAGCCACAGACCAGGCCCCACAAATGTGGGTGAGCAGTGAGCAAGCAGCAAAGCCTCACCCATATTTACAGCCACTCCCCATTGCTGTCATTACCACCTAAGCTCCACCTCCTGTCTCACAGGAGTGTGAACCCTATTGTGAACTGTGCATGCAAGGGATCTAAACTACATGTGTTTTATGAGAATCTAATGCCTGATGATCTGTCACTCTCTCCCATTACCCCCAGATGGGACCATCTAGTTGCTCAGAGTTCCCACTGATTCTACATTATGGTGACTTGTGTAATTATTCATTATATATTACAATGTAATAGAAATAAAGTGCACACTCAGTGTAATGCATTTGAATCATCCGGAAACCATCCCCCCAACCAGATCTGTGAAAAACTGTCTTCCACGAAACCGGTCCCTGGTGCCAAAAATGTTGGAGACTGCTGGAAGTGGGTACAGAGAAGCTAGTACTTTAATATACTATTGGTGAAAGTATAAAGTATAACCTTTGGGAGGGCAATATGGTAGTATCTATTAACACTGAAAAGATCCTCAAGCCACCCATTCTACTTCTAAAAATCTTCTCTAGATATGGATAAGGATTTGTTTTCCAGAATTGTTTTTAATAGTGAAAAACCTCCAAGGAATCCTAAAGCTTATCAGTAAAGGATTAAAGAAAATCCCAGCTGAGGTGGGCAGATGATGAGGTCAGGAGATAGAGACCATCCTGGCCAACAGGGTGAAACCCTGTCTCTACTAAAAATATTTTTTAAAAAATTTGCTGGGTGTGGTGGCACAAGCCTGTAATCCCAGCTACTCTAGAGGCTGAGGCAGGAGAATCACTTGAACCCAGGAGGCAGAGGTTGCAGTGAGTCAAGAGCTTGCCACTGCACTCTAGCCGGGTGACAGACTCCGTCTCAAACAGAACAACAAACAAACAAACTATGGGGACATCCATATCAGGGGATATTGTATAGAAATTAGGAAAACCAGATAGAGTACTTGTATTTACAGAGAAAGATCTCAACACATGGTTAAACATATTACACAACCAAATGTAAGCAGAAGCCCATTTTGTAAATGCATAGAAAGTATCAAAAACTAAACTCGCCGGGTGCGATGACTCATGCTTGTAATCCCAGCACTTTGGGAGGCCGAGGTGGGTGGATCCCGAGGTCAAGAGATCGAGACCATCCTGGTCAACATGGTGAAACCCCGTCTCTACTAAAAATACAAAAAAATTAGCTGGGCATGGTGGCGTGTGCCTGTAATCCCAGCTACTCAGGAGGCTGAGGCAAGAGAATTGCCTGAACACAGGAGGCGGAGGTTGCAGTGAGCCGAGATCCCGCCATTGCACTTCAGCCTGGGTAATAAGAGTGAAACTCCACCTCAAAAAAAAAAAAAAAAACAAAACCTAAACTCATCAAAACTGGTGATTAGTTCTAGGAAGAGGAATGGAATAGACTATGGACTTTTACTTAACCTCAGTAATTTGGACTTTAAATAAGACTGATTAAGAAGTAAAAGAGAATTGTGAAAACACTAAAAATCAAATATGGAAAGTTTTTAATGTGATAAAAAACTATATTGAACAAGGAAAAAAGTATTTGCAAAAAAATCAAGGATATAAGGACTTGTATCTAGAATGTATAAAGAACTCTTACTACTCAAAAACAAACAGCCCAATTTAAAAATGGGCAAAGGATCTGAATAGACTTTACTCCAAGGAATATATGCAAATAACCAATAAGCACACGACAAAATGCTCAACATCATTAGTCATTAGGGAAATGCAAATCAAAATCAGGAGATACCACTCCACATCCACTTAGGGTGACCATATAAAAAAAAGACAATTAACAAGTGCTATGGAGGGTGTGGGGAAATTGGACCCCTCATACAGTGCTTATGGGAATGTAAGATGGTACAGCACTTTCAAAGTTTGGCAGTTCCTCAAAAGGTTAAACATAGTTACCATGTAAACCACTCCTGGCAATTTCACTCCTAGGTATATACCCAAGAGATATGAACACATACATCCACGCAAAAACCTGTCACATATGTTCACAGCTGCATTATTCATAATGGCCAAAAATCGGGAACAACTCAGGAGTCCATGAAGAAGGCCAAGTTTTAAATAAACAAAGTCTCTGTTGGGTGCGGGGGTGGATCACCTGAGGTTAGGAGTTCTAGACCAGCCTGGTCAACATGGTAAAACCCCGTATCTACTAAAAATACAAAAATTAGCCGGGTGTGGTGGCCAGTGCCTGTAATCCCAGCTACTCGGGAGGCTGAGGCAGGAGAGTTGCTTGTACCCAGGAGGCAGAGTTTGCAGTGAGCTGATACCATGTCATTGCACTCGAGCATGCGTGACAGAGTGAAACTCCATGTCAAAAAGAAAAAGAAAAAAATCTCACATTAAGGTCCACAAAGCAACTATGCATTCACTAAATATCGACTCATAAGAAAAAAGTGGAGGAGGGGGGAATACTTCTATTAATATGGAAATAAATCTAAATCATACAGGCTTTTCGACAACGTCATCGTATTTTAGAGATCATTCTTTTATAAAAATAACCCAAAGGAAGGAAAATGAGACGCAGATAAACATAGTCTTAATAGTGCTATTTTATAAGAGCAAATACTGGAAGGAATCCCAGGTTTCTTACAATAAAGTGGGCAAACTCTGGTTACCAAAAAAAACCACTATGTAGTGCTTTTTATATTGTACTTAAAAATGTCAAGCTTGTGGATTATATCCATAACTAAAAATGGATAATTATTCATTCAACCACAAAACCCACATTTAAGCAATATATAAGGTGGAGAGAGCCACCTGAGAATAAAAAATACTGTGCTAGAGCAGTGCTTCTCAACCTTTAATGTGCATAAGAATCATCCATTTACAAACTTTTTAGTTTGGGCTCAGGCATTATCTCTAAAATGAGATTCTAAGGTATGTGTATTAAGTTAACTGCTGTAGTGCACTAAAACGGCAATACTGTGTTTCTGTAATGGGACTAAGAATGAATTTTTTTTTTTAATTTTAACTTTCCAAATTATAATAATATTGCAATGTACTATGTAAGAATACGGTGTATTACATAATGATTAAAAACCCACGATTCCACCGAGGACAAAAGAAGTTAGTTAAAATCAAAGCCAGTAAGTGGGCAGAATCAGAATTGGACAGAACGATCTGACTCCAAGGCCCCCATCTTAACATCAACCTCTCAAACCGCCGCACTGCACATTCTCCTGGGGCGGAATTTAACACCGACGATAATGAAACTGGACCTCTAACAGAGCGACGAGCTAAGGCGGCAGGGATCGTTTCTAGAGGCTCGAGACGAAAGAAACTGGGGGCCCGCGGCTCCGCCCCCAGATCATCACCCCGCCCTTGGGGGCGCTCGGGCGGAAAAGTTTGGAGGCGCGGCGGCCCCAGGGCCTTTCTACTCCCCAGCTTTCTCGCTCCGTTCCCTTTACCTCGACCTTCATCTCTGTCCGCCTCTCCCAACATCTCGGCCTCCAGCGCGGGCCCCAACAGAGGCAAAACAAACGCCAGCTACCCCGCCCCGCCCGGGCCCCCGGGCCCAGCCCTCGCCTCAGGTCTGGGGAGGCCTTCCCTACGACCTCGGCCCGCGGCCCGGCCCCACTCACAAGAGGAAGCTCATCTCCGGTCCTCAGAGGGGAGGCAAGGGGCCTCTGGCCCCCGCCCGGATCGGGATTCGGAGCCGGCGAAAGGGAGCGGACCGTCCTTAGCTCACGGGCAGCGGAAGCCGGGCCGCCGCCGCTGGGAGCCGGAGTTCTGGCAGCTGCGAGCCCTTACAAACCTCGACGCCCGCCTCCCCCGCCAACCCCACCTCACAGACCCGAAATGCGGAACCAGCAAAATCTCGCGAGCTAAGGCTTCGCTGCGCCAGGACCACTTGACGCGCCCCCTTTCGCTCCGCCTCTTCCTAGAAGTCAGCAATCATCGCTCTCCAAGCCAGGACCTCCCTCCCCCGAAGGCGTGGCGAGGGCCGCGGTCCTGCGGAAGGGACAGTACCTTGTCCTGCTCTGGTGTATCTTGATTCTGCTGGGTTTCGACCCCGCTCCCTAGGTTGTGCAGGGGCCTCTATAAGCGCTGTCTAGTCCTGCGATTTTTAAAAATTTAAATTTAATTTTTACTTGAAATATATTCACATAGCATAAAATTTACCCTTTAAATATGTACCCTCTAGTAGTCTTTTTCTTTTTTTTTTTTTTTTTTTTTTTTTTGAGATGAGGTCTTGCTCTGTCGCCCAGACTGGAGCGCAGTGGCGCAATCACTGCAGCCTCGACCTCCCTGGCTTAAGTGATCCTCTTGACTCAGCCTCCCGACTAGCTGAGCCCGCAGGTCCATGCCACCACACTCTGCTAATTTTCTCAGTTTCGTAGAGATGGGGGTCTCACTGTGTTGCCCAGGCTGCTCTTGGACTCCTGAGCTCAAGGGATCCTCCTGGTTTGGCCTCCGAAAGTACTGGGATCCCAGATGTGAGCCACTGCCTCTGGCTTCGTTTATGTTTTCGAAGTGTGCCAACCATCACCACTAATTTTTTTTTTTTTTAAGACAGAGTCTCACTTTGTAGCCCACTTCCAGATTGGAGTACAGTGGTGCAACCTCGGCTCATTGCAGTCTCTGCCTTCCAGATTCAAGGATTCTTGTGCCTCAGCCTCCTGAGTAGCTGGGATTACAGTGGTGCGCTGCCACACCTGGCTAGTTTTGTTTTTTTCTTTAAGTAGAGACGGGGTTTCACCATATTGGCCAGGCTGGTCTCGGTCTCAAACCCCTGACCTCAAACAATCCACCCGCCTTAGTCTCCGAAAGTGTTGGGATTACAGGCATGAGCCACCGCGCCCAGCCTAACCATAATTCTACGACATTTTCGTCACCGGGAAAAGAAACCCCATAGCTATTAGCAGTAACTCTTTTTTTTTGAGACGGAGTTTCGCTCTCGTTACCCAGGCTGGAGTGCAGTGGCACAATCTCGGCTCGCCGCTACCTCCGCCTCCTGGGTTCAGGCAATTCTCCTGCCTCAGCCTCCCAAGTAGCTGGGATTACAGGCGCGCGCCACCACGCCCAGCTAATTTTTTTGTGTTTTTAGTAGAGACGGGGTTTCACCATGTTGACCAGGATGGTCTCGATCTCTTGACCTCGTGAACCACCCGCCTCGGCCTCCCAAAGTGCTGGGATTACAGGCTTGAGCCACCGCGCCCGGTCAGCAGTCACTCTTTTTTACCCACCTCCCTCCCCCTAACCCCTGGTAATCACTACTCTACTTTCTATTTCTGTGGATTTACCTATTCTGGGCATTTCATATACACTGTGAATGGAAGAATACATGTGGTCTTTTCTGACTGACTTCTTTCACTTAGCCTAATGTTTTAAAAGTCACCCATATTGTAGCATGTATCAGAGCTTCATTCCTGGCCAGGTACAGTTGTGGCTTACCTCTGTAATCCCAGCACTTGGGGAGACTGAGGCTGGTGGATCACTTGAGCTCAGGAGTTCGAGACCAGCCTGGGCAACATGGTGAAACCCTGTTTCTACAAAATATAACAATTAGCCAGGCACAGTGGTGTGTGCCTGTGGTCACCGCTACTCCGAAGGTTGAGGCGGGAGGATCCCTTGAGCCCGGGAGGTGGAGGCTGCAGTGAGCCAAGATGGCACTGCTGTACTCCAGCCTAGGTGACAGAGCCAGACCCTGTCTCTAAAAAAGAAAAAAAAACTTAATTTCTTTCTATGGATGAGTAATATTCCATTGTGTGAATATACCACATTTTGTCTATCCATTCATCTCTTGATGAACATTTGGGTTGTTTCCATTTTTGTCTGTTATTAATAATGCTGCCATGAACATTCATGTACAGGCTTTTGTGTGGTATTAATGCCAAGTGACAGCCAAGCAACGCCTTCATTCCACTGTGCTGGAATTAAGAAAACAAAAGGAAAATGGCGGGAGACCTGAGTCTTAGCTCAGCACAGCACATGGTGGTGCAGGATACTCAATGTAAACAGTTTGCCCTGTACCTGACTGCACAGTATGCATGTTTCCAGTAATTTTATTCCATTCATATATCACTTGTCACATTAAGTTAATGATGTTAGGGCTCATGAGACTGTATTAAATTATGTTTTCTATTTCTTGAATATATTTTTTAGTCAGTTATGTAAAGAAAATTTACATACTTTTCCCTCCCCTGAAAAAAAAAATAATGTTAATTTTAATTTTTTAAACTTTTTAGTTTTTTGGAATTTAATTTATAAATATATGTGATTTGATATAGCTATATGGAAGTTACAAACATAGGAACACAGATTCAGGCTGGGCGAGGTGGCTCATGCCTGTAATCCCAGCACTTTGTGAGGCTGAGGTGGGTGGATTGCTTGAGCTCAGGGGTTCAGGACTAGTCTGGGCAATATGGCAAAACGCCACCTCTACAAAAAATACAAAAAAAAAGAAATAGCTAGGCATGGTGGTGCATGCCTATAGTCCCGCTACTTGGAAGACTGAGGTGGGAAGATGGCTTGAGCCCTGGGGATAGAGGCTGCAGTGAGCTGAGATCACATCACTGTACTCCAGCCTGGGTGACAAAAGTGAGATCATGTCTCAAAAAAATAAACAACAACAACAAAAAAAACAAAAAACACAGATTCACAGATTTATACTTCCGTAGTAATTCATATTACTTAATGTAGTTATTTTAAAAATGATTTCCAAATATCATGGGAAAAAAGAAATTCATAAAGGTGTTCCCTCTTTCAATGGTATTGTTCTTGCAGTTGAAGAGTCACTGAGGATAGGAAGCCCAGCTGTTTATAAGAAAAACAGTTCTACAACAAAGCCACAGCTCATATGAAGAAATAAAGAGAAGAGAGAGAGAAAAAAAAGAAAAACCTTTCAGGATGGCTAAATTTTGTTGGGGTAGGGGAGGAAGGATTTCATGATTAGAGAAAAATTCTCAATTAATATTTAAGCAGGATATAGTTCACATAGAGATCAAAGATAAGATATTTAAAAATAAAATAGAAACAAAAAGAAAAAATAAAAAAAGATAAGATATTCCAATAAAAGAGAGAGAGGAATTGTTCATTGCTGATTGCTGTAGGACAATTTGTTCCCCACCAGACAAAAGTCTATACAAAGACTGAGGAAGTTTCATTCACTTTTTGGCTCAGCTGGCCAGAGATCACTGCACACCATCTGGTCGAAGCAGATGCTGAATGCAGAAGCTAAGCAGCAAACTGTGAAGCCTCCAGGACTGGCTCTTCTGAACCTCTCCCCACTTCCCATTCATCACACAGTTCCCTTTTCCAGCTCCCTGGGGCAAGATTTGCAACCCTGCATTTTCATTCTGTGTAAATGCCCATCCTATCATTTGCAAAACTCCAGTTTCACCCTAACAGCCTCACCCACACAGGGCATCTTCCCACTTTGGTCACAGTAAGGTTCCTGCCCCTCTCACCCAGTTGGTGCTGTTGAGAGCTCAAGTTTTTGTTGTTTGTTTTTTAAACTCTACTCCTGTGACAGATTAAGGAATATTATTATTTATTTATTTGAGATGGAGTCTCACTCTGTTGCCCAGGCTGAAGTGCAATAGCACAATCTCTGCTCGCTGCAACTTCTGCCTCCCTAGTTCAAACAATTCTCCTGCCTCAGCCTCCCAAGTAGCTGGGACTATAGGTGCATGCCACCACACCCGGCTAATTTTTTGTATTTTCAGAAGAGACGGGATTTCACCGTGTTCGTCAGGATGGCCTCGATCTCCTGACCTTGTGATCTGCCTACCGTGGCCTCCCAAAGTGTTGGGATTACAGGTGTAAATCACTGGGCCCAGCTGGATTAAGGAATGTTAATCTTTGTCACAAACAGGTGAAAAGAATCAAATAGTAAAGTTGCTAATCAGCCTGGGCAACGTGGCAAAACCCCTACTCTACAAAAAACACAAAAATTAGCTGGGTGTGGTGGCTCCAGCCTGTAGTCCCAGCTACTCTGGAGGCTGAGGCGGCAGGATCTCTTGGGCCCAGCAAGTCCAGGCTGCAGTGAATGGATATAGTGCCACTGCACTCCAGCCTCGGTGTCAAAGTGAGAGCCTGCCTCAAAAAAATTAAAATAAAATAAGTTGCTACACTGTCCCTGCCCATTATCTCATTACTCAGGTTGCAGACTTTGCAGACTGTGAAGGAGAAATCTCAATTTATCAGAAATTAAAAACTCAGCAGCTGGACATGATGGCTCATGCCTGTAATCCCAGCACTTTGGGAAGCCGAGGTGGGCAAATCACTTGAGGTTAGGAGCTCGAGACCAGACTGGCCAACACGGTGAAACTCCGTCTCTATGAAAATACAAAAATTAGCCAGGCGTAGTGGCACATGCTTGTATTCTCAGCTACTTGGGAGGCTGAGGCACGAGAATCACTTCAACCCAGGAGGCAGAGCTACAGTGAGCCGAGATCAAGTCACTGCACTCCAGGCTGGGCAACAGAGCAAGACTCTGTCTCAAAAAATAAAATAAAATAAAAACAAAAATATCCCCTACTGGTAAATTTCACTGGCTTTAATTTTTTTTTTTAATAATAATTCAAAAAAAATTTTTTTTGGCAAGATCTTGGCTCACTGCAACCTCCGCCTTCCAGATTCAAGCAATTTTCCTGCTCAGCCTCCTAAGTAGCTGGGATCACAGTCGCCCGCCACTACGCCCAGCTAACTTTTAATGGGCTTTACCATGTTGGCCAAGCTGGTTTCAAACTCTTGACCTCATGATCCACCCGTCTCGGCCCCCCAAAGTGCTGGGATTACAGGTGTAAGCCACTGTGCCTGGCCCAGATTTCTGATATTTAAAGATCACAAGGGAAGAAACTGACAAAGGAGGTTGAGAAGATGCAGCCCGAGAAACGGAAGGGAAACTAAGAGGGCGTATTACAAAAGCAAGAGAAGA